TAACAGGCGAATTTTTAAGTTGATAATTTTGTATGGCCCGCGAATGATGTTATAAATATCCAAATGGCCCTTGGCAGAAAAAAAGTTCCCCACCCCTGACGTAGACTAATAGCACTCATGTGGCCTTAAAACTAGACACATTTGTTGCATTGCACTTAATCGGGACTTAAACCCAAAATCAAATGTGTCGGCTAATGTCAGTATAGGCCTGGCTTTCCATTCAACAATGTAGTCAGTGTAAAGTGATGTTACAGTTGCCACAGATAACAGTGAGACAAACAGTGACCGCACAACGAAACAAGCTCTAAGTGAAGTAAATAGTAGGCCTGTGTACATTGTCTTGTCGCCAGTGAATACAGATCAAAGCTTTTTGTGTAGGTGGGTCTACAAAGGCGTGTGGCTGTTATTGTACAGTCTGCGGTGTCTTGGTTGCCTTGGCTAATTTGTTGAGTCGTGTCAGCTGATCTTTAATTGTTATCTAGGCTTTTGGCAGTGTCAAAGGAGTTGTGTAGTATCCTTGGTTCTTTCAGTAAAGTCACGGAGAAGGGAATGACGATTGCTTGGTGTTGCAATCGAAACGTGGTGAGAATTTTATTGTTATTATTTTATTATTTCCCTTCTACGTGACTTTACCGAAAGAACCCTAGAATATGAATCCCTGCAGTCACGAAAGCTTTAAAACGAGAGTTGTGTAGTGTTGACTTGAGGGGCATTGGGACAGCATTTGAGGGCTTTGTTGTTTTGTTTCGTATTTATAAATACCTACCATTGGTAGATAAGACCGTTATATCACTTGACTTAAAGTTTTCGTGACTGCAGGAATTAAATATTCTTTGGGTCTTTCGGTAAAGTCACGTAGATAGGTACAAATTAATTTAAAAAATATATAAAATAAACAAGAAACTACGCCGTTTCGATCACAACACAAGCGATCATCATCAGGAGGAAAGAGGGGGAAAGCTTCTGAATGCCGACTGTTTTATAGGGTGTAGTCCTAGCGTCATAAACGAAGTGGGCGGGGCTAGTGATGTTAATTAGCATGTTAATGTAAGACCTCAGAGCCACCGCTCAAACCCAGCCATACATTTATACTGGTAGGAAACGTAGTGGACTGGAAGCCCAACCGGGATTAATTCACAGGAGGCAGGGGATTAATTGTGTATGTCTGTGGATGTCTGTCCACGTGGGAGGGGTGGGGCTGGGTGGAGAGGGGAGGGTAGGGAGGGGCTGGGTGGGGAGGGGCTGGGTGGGGAGGGGAGGGTGGGGAGGGAGGGGCTGGGTGGGGAGGGTGGGGCTGGGTGCGGGGTGGGAGGGGTGGGGCTGGGTGGGGAGGGGGGTGGGGAGGGGCTGGGTGGGGAAGGGCTGGGTGGGGAGGGGCTGGGTGGAGAGGGGCTGGGTGGGGAGGGTGGGGAGGGGCTGGGTGGGGAGGGTGGGATTGGGTGGGGAGGGGGGGTGGGAAGAGGCTGGGTGGGGAGGGTGGGGCTGGGTAGGGGGTGGGAGGGGTGGGGATGGGTGGGGAGGGGCTGGTCACCCCGTGGTGCCCTTATAAAACTCAACGTTTAACCTACTCACGCCGGCTTGTGCCCGCCCTCACAGTCGGGCATATTTGCGGAATACACCACGTGGTGCCGCCGTTGACCCTGGCCATTGACCAAGCAACCCAACGTTCCTACCAGCTCCCTCCGCAGGAATGTTTTTCATGGATCCAGTCAAATATGTACTTAAGTAATTTATGGTTTAAATTGAGATCCCTTCCCTTCATAACTGGCTCATCCTCCGCCATTCCCAAGTCAAGGGTCGTATATACTGACCCAGTAGCATCTATTGAAAACTAGAGCCAATCAACAATTTCAAGCATCATTTACATTCTCAGTGACCCAGAATTAGTAAAGCTGGACTACATTTATTTCAGAAGAATTTTGGCTGTATACCAGTGTAATACAACTTTTAAAGCAATTCCCTGTGTTTAGTGTACACGCTGTACACCATGTTTGGAATCGACAGGAGTCCAGGAACAAATCGACATACAAACAGGCCTCTGGAACCTAACGCGTTCCTAAGTAGAGGAGTCCCTTTACTTCCAAGTACAGCAATCCCTCGCCGACCGCGGGGGGTTAGGTTCATGAAAAGGCCTCGCGGTTGGTAAATACGCGCTTGGTGAAGTTACAGAGCGCCTACTGGCCGTAGGGGGGTTAGGGGAAGCACGGCGGTGGGTCAGACTCGTCGTATCTTGACCATCACGAAACATAAACGTTACGTTAGGTTTACATAGGGGCCGTCCATAAATGACGTCACGCGATCAATTGTTGACCCCCCCCCCCTGTCACACAGCGTCACAAAGTCAGACCCCCCCTCAAATATGACGTCACAAAGTTCTGCCCTTCAAATCGCTTCCAACGATTGTCATTGTAGTGCGTATTTAATGTGCCGCTGCACTCTGATGTTGTAGGAGAAAACATTTATTAACAAGTCTATTTAATTAACTAGAACGTGTTGTCTATATTTATTTAAAGTTGCGCATTTTGATGTGACGTCAAATTTCTCAAACCCCTCCCTCCCCTTCGTCACACATCGTCACAAAATGTCTGACCCCCCCCCCCCCTCCCAGGTGCGTGACGTCATTTATGGACGGCCTCCATACCTTTAATATTTACGATAACGATGGTGGGGGGGCGGGGGGGGGCGTAGTTCTGGTTAGGAGGAGGAGGAGGGGATAAGCCAACGCTCCCCCTCTTCTTCCTCCTCCGGTACTAACCGAGACAAGCCACTCTCATCGTCGCTCACTCGCTACCATGCTTGCGAGTCCACTATCAAGGGGCAAAATTAACATGTACCGGACAGCACTGTACAGCACTGTAAGCACTCTACACCGATGAACAGCACGGTACTCTACAGTATCGTGCGGTGCTGTAAGTACTGTAGGTATTTACAGTACTGTGCAGTGCAACAAAACACACAGGCAGCTGATTGGCTAAGCAGGGCCACGCCCCCGCCCCCCGCAATATTTGTAACGACGTCACGCTTTGGCGATGCAATGACGTCATAACCACGTCATGTGATTTCCTTACCACACCCGTGCTTACCCACGTGGCAAAACCGCTTGCAATAATTACTTCGTGAGGCGTGAGGAGTGAATCAGACCAATGGCAGAGGTGCAGAAGAATAGAGAGGGAGGGATTGGTGTGGTAGCTACGGACCCCACAGGGGGTTTTTGCCTTGCAGAAGCGAGCGGGAGTCCCACGCGACATCGCGGGCCGGACCGCTTAGCGGAAGCGGAAATGTTTCATTTCACGACTCGGCACGAGGATTCGCGGTTCGCGTGCATCGCTCGGTTGGTAAACGGGTGTCAGAAGTACAGCCGCACAATACTCATATCTCGAGGTTTGTTAAACGGGTGTACAGAAGTCAAATCTGCGTAAACAGTCAAATCTCGCGGTTTGGTCAAATTAACGGTCGGCAAGGCATTACTGTATCGCAACCTCTCCCCTGCGTTTGCGTACATTAAACAATGCTTCATCTTCTTTGATTCTTTCGGTAAAGTCACGTAGAATGATAATAAAATAATAATATTATTGTGTTATTTTATTTTATCAATTTATTATTTTATTATCATTCTACGTGACTTTACCGAAAGAACCAAAGAAGATTAATCATTGCAGTCACGAAAGCTTTAAATCGAAAATTAAACAATGCTCTTTGGTTCTTTCAGTAAAGTCACGAGGGTAAAAATAAAAATAAAGTTAATCAAATCACGACGTTTCGGAGGCAACACAAGCTTCCATCATGTGTTGCCTCCGAAACGTCGTGATTTGATTAACTTTATTTTTACCTGCGTGACTTCACCGAAAGAACCAAAGAGTATGGATCATTGCAGTCACGAAAACTTCAAATATAGATTTAAACAATGCCTTTGTTTCTAATATTGTGATGATTATTTTTCAGTAAATCCTTTTTGTATTCCATTAAACCCTTTCCCATTCGGGCGACGTGCATGTACGTCATAAGTTTGATTCCGGTTCAATTCCTATAACATACACGTACGTACGTCATCGAAACAGAACCAGAAGAAAAAATAAAATAACTTTTATCAATACAATGCCTGCCCCATATTTTTTGAGCCAGCTATCGTAGAGTGACGCCAATCGTGCCTCTACGGTTCTCTGCGGTAACGTCGTCTTTATAAACACAATGAGGCTGCTGCTACTACTACCACTACGCCTCTCTCTACAATAAAATTAATGACTGAGAACCGCTCGCGCCATTCTGAGTCTATGGGTAGCAGTGCTGAGTATGGGAAGTGTTGAGTCTATGATGCAGTGTTGAGTCTATGATGCAGTGTTGAGTCTATGATGCAGTGTTGAGTCTATGGTGCAGTGTTGAGTCTATGGTGCAGTGTTGAGTCTATGATGCAGTGTTGAGTCTATGATGCAGTGTTGAGTCTATGATGCAGTGTTGAGTCTATGGTGCAGTGTTGAGTCTATGGTGCAGTGTTGAGTCTATGGTGCAGTGTTGAGTCTATGGGTAGTGTTGAGTCTATGATGCAGTGTTGAGTCTATGGGCAGTGTTGAGTCTATGGTGCAGTGTTGAGTCTATGATGCAGTGTTGAGTCTATGGGCAGTGTTGAGTCTATGATGCAGTGTTGAGTCTATGATACAGTGTTGAGTCTATGATGCAGTGTTGAGTCTATGGGCAGTGTTGAGTCTATGGTGCAGTGTTGAGTCTATGGTGCAGTGTTGAGTCTATGGGTAATGTTGAGTCTATGATGCAGTGTTGAGTCTATGGGCAGTGTTGAGTCTATGGTGCAGTGTTGAGTCTATGATGCAGTGTTGAGTCTATGGGCAGTGTTGAGTCTATGATGCAGTGTTGAGTCTATGATGCAGTGTTGAGTCTATGGTGCAGTGTTGAGTCTATGATGCACTGTTGAGTCTATGATGCAGTGTTGAGTCTATGATGCACTGTTGAGTCTATGATGCAGTGTTGAGTCTATGGGTGACAGTGTTGAGTCTATGGGTGACAGTGTTGAGTCTATGGTGCAGTGTTGAGTCTATGGGTGGCAGTGCTGAGTCTATGGGTGGCAGTGCTGAGTCTATGGGTGGCAGTGCTGAGTGAGTATCGGTCAACCCAGCCGCTCCTCTACGTGGCCGGCCACGTGCACGTAGAGATCCGACGAGCGCACGAAGCTCTTCCCGCACACGGAGCAGCAAAGCGAGTTGCGGCCGGCGTGCAGCGCGTTGTGGCGCCTCGCGTCCGACGGCCACGCGAACCGCTTGCCGCACACGGCGCACGTGTGCGGCCGCTCGCCCGTGTGCGAGCGGGCGTGGCTTCTCAGCTTCGACGGCTTCTCGAAGCCCTTGCCGCACACGGCGCACGTGTGCGGCCGCTCGCCCGTGTGCGACCGCGCGTGGGTCACGAGGGCCGACCGCAGCGTGAATGCCTCTGGACACCAGAGGCACTTGTACGGTCTACTCCTGCGAAACTTTTTGCCGCCGGCGCCGGCGCCGCCGCCACCGCCGGCGGCGGCCGCGAACTCCTTGCCAGGCCCCAGGTGGCCGAGCACTCGCGGGCATGGCTCCATGTCGCCCCCACAACCCCCCATGTCCCCCGCTTCTTCCATTCCGCGGAAGTGGGTCCTGGGCTGGATTGGCCGACAGCGTATCTGGCTCTGGGAAGCAAACGTTTTAGTCCGCAGCTTCTGCTGTTGCCGCTTTTTCTTCCTGCTCCTGCTATCTGCGATCGGTCGCCTTCCCGGGTCGTTGTCCAGCGCTACTCCTGTGCGGGTAGTGGGGGGGGGGGGGGGACAAAATAACCCGGAAGGAATGATTCAACTTGCTCTGAAAACTTCTTGCAACGTTCACAATCACTGATGAATTCTCAAGTCACATCAACCTTTGCGTAATGTCCGTATAATATTAATTTACACTTATAAAGCGCGTCTCACCCAGAGGTCGCAAGGAGCTCCACAGAGCTAAAAGCAAGTAAGTGAATAACTTAACACAATTGTAATACCTAATATAAGCACGCAGGCTCATGATTTAACCATGGATACAAATACCCCCACCCCCCATGCTCCCAAAACACGTAACAAAATTAACAAGGAGAAAAGGCCTTCAAGAAAAAAATGTCTTAAGGCGAGGATTTAAAAAACACCAAGGGACTCAGCGGATTGGATATCGGACGGAGAGTGAATTCCACAGCTTGGGGGCCACATGGGAAAAGGGCACAGGTCACCCATTGAATGGAGGCGCGACCTCGGCACACACAGTAGTAGCCCACACTCGGACGACCGAAGAACTCGTGTTGGGACATACAGGTGGAGGTCACGGATGTCAGAGAGGGAGGCATTATTGAGGGCCTTGTAGGTGAGAAGGATCTTCAACTCCACTCGGAACTTGACCGGTAACCAATTGGAGAGACTCAAGTACATGGGTAAATATGCTCAGCAACTGGTGTTCTAGTGCGAACTCTGGCAGCTGCATTCTGCATGTGCTGGAGGCGGTTTAACAGATTGAGAGGGATGGCAGCTAATAATGTGATGCAAAAATCGATGTGTGAAAAGAGAAACGCGTGAACTAGCTTCTTAAGGTCCGATAACGAGGTCGGATAACGAGAGAATGGGGTGCAATGCAGCTTTATTTCTGAGGTGAAAGAAGGCAGCCTTAATGACCTTGTTAATTTGCACTTTGAAGGTTAGTGGGGGGTCAACGACAACACCAAGGTTGCAAACTGTCTGAGCAGCACCAACAGTGTGGTAATAAATTAACACACTGAACGAGCCAGCCTTAGACAATTGATGATGGGACACAACAAACAGTACCTCTGACTTGTCAACTTTTAACTGAAGAAAGTTAGACTGCATCCAAGCCTTAATGGTCACAAGAGCAAATAACACGCAAGATGCTGCTGCATTGAAGGAGGATTCAACATTAATGTAAATTTGAGTGTCATCAGCGTAACAATGAAAAAAAGTCCAAGTTGGCATATGATATGGACAAGTGGGGCCAAATATACCCAGACCAAATGTGGGCCAAGGAATAAACCCTGGGGAACACCAAAAGGAACTGAACATGTGTCTGAATTTCTCCCTCCCAGGCTGACAAAACTGTTTATGCTCAAATATGTCGGAAGTATAACACGTAGGCTTTCGCGACCAATATTATTCATAATAAAGGTTTTTGGGTTAGATCGCGTTTATTTATAAATGTGTCGTAACCCTCCACCACCCGACACGGCCAATCAGCAAAAAAAGTGTCACGTTGACAAAAGACAAATAATTCACTACTTTAGCCCACCGGTGTGTTGAAGAGTGAATCCACATTTACAGTTTGAGTACGACGTTTCGCTGGTAAATACATCCAGCATCATCGGGCAATTCGGCGAATTCGGCGAATTGCCCGATGATGCTCAAACTGTAAATGTGGATTCACTCTTCAACACACCGGTGGGCTAAAGTAGTGAATTATTTGTCTTTTGTCAACATGACACTTTTTTTGCTGATTGGCCGTGTCGGGTGGTGGAGGGTTACGACACATTTATAAATAAACGCGATCTAACACAAAAACCTTTATTATGAGGTCGGAAGTAAACCAGCGCAAAACAGTGCCAAAAACCTCCGTATAGCCTTCCAAACGCTCGAGAAAAATGGAATGATCGATGGTGTCAAAGGCAGCACTCAGGTCCAAAAGGACAAGAATACTAGGAATGCCTGCATCAGCAGCAACCAGTCACTGACAACCCTAACCAGAGCCGTTTCCGTGCTGTGGTCAGACCTAAAACCGGACTGAAAAGGATCGAAAATATAATTTACGAGCAAATTATGTTTAAGCTGTAAGCCTACTGAATGCTCAATGATCTAGGAGCGATATGACAGGATGGAAATTGGACTATAATTACTGATGAGTTCTGAATCGAGGCCAGCCTTCTTAAGTCCCAGAATCACAGCAGCACATTTAAAAATAGAACGGACAGTACCAGATTGAACTGAGTTCTTAAGAAGATTGGTAATAAGGACTGCAAGAGATGGAAATTTTGCATTACGAAATTTAGAAGGAAAAGGATCAAGAGAACAACATCTTGGTTTGGAACTAACCAAGTCACGTAGAAGGGAAACAAAATAATAAAAAAATAAAACAATACAATTCTCACGACGTTTCGACTGCAACACAAGCAATCATCGTCAGGTGTGAAAACCACAGCAAAAAAATTGAAAAAGTGGCGTTTTTTATTTTCTTGCTGTGGTTTTCACACCTGATGATGATTGCTTGTGTTGCAGTCGAAACGTCGTGAGAGTTTTATTGTTTTCTATTTTTCTAATTTTATTGTTTCCCTTCTACGTGACTTTACCAAAAGAACCAAGAATATTTTTTTATATTTTGTATATGTAACATGGATACAGTTTTTAGCAAACAGGCTGCCTCGGCATTATATTCATTTCTAATAAGATAAAGTTTGTTTGAATGTACCGTCTTGTCATTATTAGACTTTCTATGCTGTTTACAGGCCATTACGTTTGGTTACTGCTCTATTCATATTCATATCTAGGGTTTGGCCGCCATGTGTTTAGTTTACGGCAAATGTAAACATTGTACAAATAATTCGAATAATTTAAAACGTGATAACATGCGCAATTTTAGTGTTAGTATGGTTTATTCAGCAGTGCTCTAAGTCAAAGGTAAGTGTTGCATAGTGGAAAGTCCTACCATGACAAAATTAAAATGAGTCATGACATCTTCTTTGGTTCTTTCGGTAAAGTCACGTAGAATGAGAATAAAATAATAAATTGATAAAATAAAATAACACAATAATATTCTCACGATGTTTCGGCCACAACACAAGCGGCCTTCACCTGATGAAGGCCGCTTGTGTTGTGGCCGATGATGAAGGCCGCTTGTGTTGTGGCCGAAACGTCGTGAGAATATTATTGTGTTATTTTATTTTATCAATTTATTATTTTATTCTCATTCTACGTGACTTTACCGAAAGAACCAAAGAAGATGAATCCTTGCAGTCACGAAAGCTTTAAATCGAAATTTAACCGCCTCTACGGGGAGGGATTCCACACAACCTTAAGATCATTCAACAACTTCTGAGCTTGGCTGTGTTCGCTCCAGCGCTGTCCTCCAGACAGTCTCGTCCCTTCACCTGATGAAGGCCGCTTGTGTTGTGGCCGAAACGTCGTGAGAATTTTATTGTGTTTTTTATTTTATCAATTTATTATTTTATTCTCATTCTACATGACTATACCGAAAGAATCAAAGAAGATGAATCCTTGCAGTCACGAAAGCTTTAAATCGAGAGTTATGACATGTCACACGTGTAAAATATTTTTGGGATAGCCCGCACCTCCATATACCCCGCAGGGTCTTGTTTTGTTTATAAAAAGTGGTATACCCCACGGGTTATATGCGGGAAAATACCGTATATAAATTACAATGGACCTCTTGTTATTGGTTGTGATATTCACAGCTAATCAACAAACATAATGTATATACGTCATGTGTACCATATATGTGCGTTAAGCATGTGTATTATGCATTTGCATTGTGCATTACGCATGCTCATTATGAATGTTAATTATGCACGTATATTACACATACACATTCTGCCGTTGTTTTTGTAAGTATCTGCGTGTACCCCCCCCCCCCCCCACGGCTCCTCACCGTTATCATCTTCCAAGACCACTTCGATCTCCGCCAAGCCCGACGATGCCACCACAGTGGAACTGCGGTTGGCCGCGGTGCTCCGGAGGACTCCGTCAGGATAAAGATCCACCTCGGACAGCATGCCAAAGTCATTCAGTTGGGGCTGCATTTTCGCCGTTTTAATCTGTGGTTGTTTGCAATTGATATTAAAGTCTTTGTGTATTGTGATCGTGTCCTCTCTACAAGCCTGCAGGTCCTCCATTTTAATCTGCTGTTGTTTGCAGTCAATAGTGACATCTTCCTCTTTAATGATGGGATCTTCTCTGCAAGCCTGCACATCCTCCGTTTTAATCCGATGTATTTTGCAATGAATATTAAGATATTCCTCCTCTTTAATGATCTGATCTTCTCTGCAAGGCAGTAGGACCTCCGTTTTAATCTGACATCTTTTGCAATCGATATTAAGATCTTCCTCTTTAACGATCGGATCTTCTCTGCCAGCCTGTAAGTCCTCTATTATAATTTTTATAATTTTTTCAGTAGTCTCATCATCCTCTTCCTTCATATCAATCTTGGCTCTCTGACCTGGGAAATGAAACACTGCCATTGAGCACCGCGTGAATGATAAAACATTAATCAGGTATGGACCAACACGGTGGCTAGGAGATATTAACTACCTTGCCCGGTATGATGGAGGTTGTGGGTTCGATCCCAACCCCGTGGTGGTTGCGTGGATTTTCTCCGGGTCCTCCAGTTTTTGCCTCCACATTTAGAATCGACGTCACGTGTTTAGATTTTAAAACAAACTTTTTTTGGTGTTAGATCGTGTGAATATAAATGTGTCGTTAAACCTGCCATCACCCGACAGCCAATTAATAGGGGTTTGTCAAGTAAACAAAACGTGAGAATTATTTACTAGTTCATCACACCGGTGTGTTGGGGAGTGAACCCACAACATTTACAATTATGGAAAAAAATATGGAAAATATGGTCGCAAAAGCCTACATGTGTTTAGATTATTTGGCTGCTATACATTTGCACGTGATAATCCCCTTCGTTGAGCTATCATTTGAGGCCAACACCGGGGATAATGATTATCTGAACCAGTCCTGTGCTTCCCCTACATCAACTCAGCCTCAAATGAGTTACCTGGGGCAGTGACGGTGTATAGTGAACATCGCCACTGGGGGGAGACAAAGGCGGCCGGGGCGTGGTGCTGGCCACCCACCCCCTTGTGTGCCACAGTCCCGGCCTTCATAGGTGCTGCTACTCGTGACTAAAAGCACTTGCCCCCAACAGTCTATTATAGGATACACGGGGGATCTTTGTCTTTGGTAGAGGTGGTGGAGGAGGTGGTGGTAATGGTGGTGGTGGTGGTGGAGGTATTTGGGTGGTAGTGGAGGTGGTTGTGGTGGAGGTGGTAATGGTGGCGGTGGTGGTTGCTGGTTACCCACTCCCTCCTGTTCCACAGTGCCGGTCTTCATAGGCACTCCTACTTGCTACTAACAACACTTGCCCCCAACGGTCTGACTCTGTTAAGGCTACAGGGGAGATCTTTGTTTTTGTGTCTAGTACAGCGAATAGTATCTGTATGATGAGCCTATGGGCCTCTGAGTGAGTTCATGGGCCTCTCTGATGAGTCTTTGCGGTCAGTCTATAGATCTCTGTGTGATGAGTCTATGGCCCATTTGTGTGATGAGTCTACAGGTCTCAGTGCGCCGAGTCTACGGGTCTCTGTATGGTGAGTTTATGGCTCACCCCCTCCAAGTGCTGTCTCCCATCCTGGGTGTTCTTCGGCTTCCTGTTTGCTCACCAACCGTCCAGACTTCCTCACTCCTCGCCTGTCAACACACAGAAGGCTCCCTCATGGTCACGGAGAATACAAAAATACAAGCCCCTACTTGATTATGTGACCCAACTTACTGACGAGGTTTAACAATGACTTGAGCGCCATGGTGGCTAGGAGATGTTAACTACCTCGCCTGGTATGCAGGAGGTCGTGGGTTCTACCCCAACCCTGATGCCTGCTGTATATTTGGAGATTGCAGGTCTCTCTCCCTGTGGTCACGTGGACTTTTTCCCCGGGTCCCTCCGGTTTTCCCCTCCACATTGAGAATCGTGCGTTTAGAGTATTTTGCGACTGCTATGAAAATGTCCACATGATGATGATGAAGCCCACTTCGTTGAGCTATCACTTGTGATGGCCAGGTTGCTTATGAAAAAAACCGACATTGTTCAGTGGGGCCTTACCTGGTAAAATATTTATATTTTTTGGGGTCTTTCGGTAAAGTATTTCGGTAAAGTCACGTAGATAGGTTAAAATTAATAGGACCAACATGTCGGCTGTGGCTGATTATTGTTTTAATGCGGTTGGCTCACGCAAAATTGATTTCTCTAAGACGAAGGAATTTTGTTAGCCCACTGACTATCAACAAAGATTCGTTCAAGAAGCCATCCACGTATACAGACAGACACAATTTCAACCGAGAGGATGGGTACAAACTCATCAATCATCGGATGGACGTCATCAACCAGTTGAAGTCATAACTGGCTGAGATGTTCCCATCCTGCCACCTTCCGATGTTAGTTTTTTTATTTTCCCAGTGGCTCCGGCTCTCCGATTTTACATTAACAGGTTACATCTTTTCACACCAACATAGCCACCTCCGTGTGCCGACCTCGACGTGGCGGCGGCTCTGCGACCTTACATTAATATGCTAATTTATCACATTAACATAACTAGCCCCGCCAACATCGTTTATGCCCCTTGGGCTACACCCATTTTAAACCTTTAAAACAGTCTGCCTCAGCAGCTTTCCCCCTTCTTTTTCCTCCAGATGACGATCGCTTGTGTTGTGATCGAAATGTCGTAGTTTTTTGTTTATTTTATTTTTATTCATTTGAAACTATCTACGTGACTTTACCGAAAGACCCAAATAATATGAATTCCTGCAGTCACGAAAGCTTTAAGTCAAGATTTGGTAAAATATTTTTCAATAGTAAAGACTTTTAAATCAAATAATCACTCCCCACTCCACTTCTGTTAGAGATTCAGTGGGCACCTGGCCAGATATCAATACACCTGGGACAAAAATCCCTGGGAAGATATTAAACTACGAAACAATTTTCTTTTTCAAGGTGTAAGGCCCCACGGAGCTGTCAGGCAGCTTGTCAAAGTGAAGGGGACAGAGTGGCTAAAAGCACTAAACTGTGTGAGTTACTTGTTTAGGTCCAACTGGTTAACGTTTTGCTAGGATCCATCAGGCTTGAGATCTTGGATGCTATCACGTGACATTTTCCATTGTTTAGTGCACGGTTAAAAAAAAGCGGAACGTAGCAGATTTATTTTAAATTTGAAAACAATCATATCAACGACGGGTCATTATAGATTTGTGGAGCTCACACGTAGCTTCATTTTTCACACCTTTGTAACTTCAAGTTATTTCACTTCAAGCAGTTTCAGTTGCGAAAAAATGCACTGTGGGAAAATGTTACTGCCATTGTATTTACATCAACATTAAACATGATAGCTCAATTAAGTGGTTTATAATCATGTGTTAGAAGCAGCCAAATAAACACCCTAAACGCATGATGTTGATTCGAGATGTGGAGGAGAAAGCCAGAGAACCCGGAGACAAATCCACACGACCACGGGGAGAGAGACACGCAGAGTCCAAATATACAGCAAGCGTCAGGGTCGGGATCGAACTCACGATCTTCTGCATACCAGGCGATGTAATAATTATTTATTACATCGAATAATCACATCCTGCTTACTTACAACTGAAATGCACCACCGTGTGAGTCAATGGGTCTTTGTGCAAGTCAATGTATCTCTGTGCGAGTCTATGAAACTCTCCGTGAGTGCATGTGAGTTTATGAGTCTCATGTGGGTGTGTGTGAGTCTATGGGTCTCCGTGTGAGTATATGAGTCTCTATGCGAGTGTGAGTCTCTGAATGTGAACATCTAGCCAAACTCAGCACGTAGGTGGCGATGGAGTGTAGATTGCCGAGATACGGGATGGGACAGCATTGTGTCTCCTCGGCAACTTCCATCGCGTCTGAGCAGCTCTGCACTGCTTACCCCTGATGGCGAAGGACCGAGAAAAGGTGGTCTAAAAATTGTCTCCGGGTGGTTAGCCACTACCACCAGAGCATCCCAATCAGCGGCCGAAACTGAAGGAAACCCAAGATTTGTTTACTCCTTCAAGTTAGTCCATGGAATGTCCGCACCCTCCTGGACTCTAACGAAAAAGCCGATAGACCGCACAGTAGGACAGCCCTCGTGGCCCATGAACCCAGGAAATACAACATCAACATTGCAGCGCTCGGTGAAACGCGCTTCCTTGGAGAAGCCTCTCACAGAGGCACAGAGGTTGGTGAGGGCTATACCTTCTTCTGGAAGGGAGTTCCGGAAGATGCTCACCACCTCCATGGAGTGGGTTTTGCTGTGAAAACTTCACTCCACCACGTCCCTAAATCCCCTGTTGGCATTGGTGAGCGGCTGATGATGTGGCGCATCTTCTTGGGTTGGGAGGCGCTCTGCCACGCTCATCAGTGCTTATGGGCCTATACTTGACGCAGACAATGACGCCAAGGAGGCCTTCTATAAAGCTCTCGACACTGCCATTAAAAACACACCACATACCGACCAGCTACTCCTCGAGAGAGACTTCAACACTCGGGTGGGCTTTGACCACCACATCTGGAACTGTGTACTAGGCCGGCATGGGGTGGGTAAATAGAACAGCAACGGACTTCGGCTACTCTAACTATGCTCCGAACACCAAATGGTGATCACCAACACCCTGTTCCAGTTGAAGGACAAACACAAGAACTCATGGCAACACCTCCGCTCTAAACACTGGCACCTCCTAGATTACATCGTCGTCCATCAGTGCGACGAAAAGGAGGTGCTCATGACCCAAGTCATGCATCGGGCGGAATGCCGGACTGATCACCGTACAATCAAAGCCAAACTCCGCATTGAGATCCATTCACGCCATCAGAGCAAGGCCCCAAATAGAGACTCAACTGCGATGCCCTCAAAAGTCCAGCTGTCACTAGCAACCTGCAGTGTCTCCTCTCTACCCAACTCCCCTCAACCCCCCCCCCCCTGGATTCCGCCCCCAACACCACATGGACTGAGTTGCGCACAGCCATCCTCGAGGCAGCCTCCGAACCAGTCGGGTGCACTAAAAAGCATCACCAAGACTGATTTGACGAAAAGGCTGCCAACATCCGCACACTACTACAGAACAAATGCCAAGCTCACAAAGCCGTTCTGTCTAACCTAGACTCCCCCACTCTCCAATCCTCCCTCTCCAAGGCCAAAGCAGAGTCCGAATGTGCTCTCCATGCCATGGAGGACACCTGGTGGGTCCAAATGCGGATGAGATCCAAAGCCTTGCGGACACAAAAAACACCCCAAGGGTTTTATTATGCCATAAAAGCCCTCTATGGCCCCCAAAAACAAGCCCTCACCCGAGTCAGGTCTGCTGATGGCAACACTATTTTCAAGGACTGCTAAAAGATCTTGGACAAATGGGCGGAGCACTTTGATAACCTTCTCAACCACACCAACCCCACGGACCCGCTCATCCTCGACACACCCCCAGATATCCCGCACATTCATGAACTCGACACCCCACCACAGTCTTCGGAGGCCCACCAGGTTGTCAGAGGCCTGAAAAACAACAAAAGTGCTGGATCTGATGGCATCCCAGCTGAGATCCTGAAGCATGGGGGATACTTCCTCCTAGGCTGCTTGTACCATCTCATCAAGTCCACCTGGCTGTCTGAAACCATCCCAAAGGGATGGAAGGATGCAAATGTTGTAGTTATCTACAATAAGAAGGGTGACAAAGCAGCTTGCGGCAACAGCAGAGGTAACTCCCTCCTTTCAGTTGCCGGGAAGGTCCTCACCAGGAAAATGCTTTCACGGCTCACAGAGCACCTATCTGAAAATATCCTCCCAGAATTCCAGTGCGGGCAGGAGCACCACCAACATGATCATTGTATTCTAGATTTAAAGCTTTCGTGACTGCAAGGATCCATACTCTTTGGTTCTATTCGGTAAAGTCACGTAGGTAAAAAAATAAAACAACAAAAATCACGACGTTAACTGCAGGAGCAAAACAAAGGACTCTTCATATCGACCTCACCAAAGCATTCGACACCATCAACCGCAAGATACTCTGGCAGCAGCCCAGCAAACTTGGGGTGCCTTCCAAGTTTCTGAGCATTCTAAAACAGTCCCATGGAGGAATGCGTGCCAGAGTAGTGCTTGGTGGGGTTAAATCAGAGTCCTTCAACGTGGAGGTCGGGGTCAAGCAAGGCTGTGTTCTGGCTCCAGTCACATTCAACACGGCTTCTTGGTGCCATCACCGGCCTTGCACACAACTCCCTCAACTCAATCGGCGGAATCCAGCTACAGTAACGTCTGAATGGAAATCCCTTCAACCTAAGACGCCTCCTTAACCAGACAAAAACCAGAACCCAACAGATATCTGAACTGCAACATGCAGACTGTGCGTACTCCTGGCTCACACCCCAGGAATCCATACAACACGCCCTCAACCTGGTCTCCTCATTGTACCGCTCTGTCGGCCTCCAAGTCAATACCCATAAGATAGAAATAATTGCTCAACTCTCATCCGCGTCCCCCTCACTTCCTACCTTCAACATCGGTGGTGTTCACCTCAAATTTGTACCCCATTTCACTCTGCCCTCTCCCCAACGTGCTCCCTTGATGACAACATCCACACTCGCGTCAACAGAGCCTCCACTTCCTTTCGACTCCTCCGGGCCAGATCTTCGAAAACCGTATGGAAAGCTCTTCCTTCCGAAAGCTCTTCCTTCCGATGTTAGGAAGCCACTTGGGAGCTTATGCAACGTTTGAATCATCTAGATTGACAAACTAATTTCTTTGGAACAGCTTGTTGTGTTTAGTTGGTTGTCCCTTCTCCCCGCACCTCCGATTATCGTGGTTGGCTACGTACGGTGGTGCGAAAGAAGTTCACCATACATACTCTACACACTACACTACCATTCACTACACTACTATACACTATACTATTATACACTACACCACTATACAACATTGAGAACTAATTTATAGAGAACTGCTTCATGTTGATTGGCTGGGTTGGCTACGTACGGTGCGAAATATGTTTAACAAAAATCCCTCATATCGCCTGAACAGACTGTAGGAGCATGTGCTGTTGTTCAACATACAGTATATACAGACAACATGCATACATACAATATACACAAAACAGGCAATGTACATATAACGTCCATACATACAACATACAACCTAAACACAACATGCATACACTACACATACATCATGCATACAACATACATAAAACACATGTACAACGTGCAACATACACCATACATAAAATATGCATACACGAACCATACACCAAACATTCAAACCACATACAACATGCATAGTAACGTATTTTCCCGCATATAACCCGCGGGGTATACCACTTTTTACAAACAAACCAAAACCCTGCGGGGTATATGGAGGTGCGGGCTATCCCAAAAAAATATTTTACACATGTGACATGTTGTAACTCGTTAAATTTTTTCATGGTAGGACTATGCAACACTTACCTTTGACTTAAAGCACTGCTGAATAAACCATACTAACACTAAAATTGCGCATGTTATCACGTTTTAAATGATTCGAATTGTTTGTACAATATATATTCTTGGTTCTTTCGGGAAAGTCACGTAGAAGGGAAACAATACAAATTTAACATTTGCCCGTAAACTAAACATATAGCGGCCAAACCCTAGATATGAATAGAGCAAACGTAATGGCCTGCAAAAAGCATAGCAAGTCTAATAATGAAAAGACGGTAGATTCAAACAAACTTTATCTTATTATAAATGAATATGATGCCGAGGCAGCCTGTTTGCTAAAAAAAAAACCCGTCAACGTTACATGTAACAAAATATAACAAAAAAAATAGCCAACATTAAAAGTCAATGTTAATTTCAATATCAGCGTAATTTCTGCTCAGTAGCAAACTCACTATCATTATCATTGACGGCTACTTGTTGAAACGTCCCGGTTATTATCATGTTGCGGCCTCACCCACTTGGCCAAGCTGTCTTCCAACTTTGGCCACTTGGCCTTCGGTCCTCTTCTCGCGCGTTTTCGTGGATTCATCGCTTTCAGTTCGGCAATATTTTTCCGCCATTCACGAACAGACTTTTCGTCGACCGAAAACGCTTTTCCCGCAGCTCTGTTGCCTCGATCTTCCGCAAATTTACAAACTTGAAGCTTGAAGGCGGCGGTGTACGACTTACGTTTCGGCGGCATTGCCGTAAACGTTTAAGCGATCGAAATTAACCGCGGTACGGCGACTTTCAATTGCTCAAAAGTTTCAGCTGAGGCTATGCTATTGCACAACGGGAAGGGCCTTAAAGAAGCGTCTACCAGACGTGGAAATCACAATTGCTGAGCCCCTTTAGGACGCCGCTATTGCCCGAGCACTATTGCCAGTCGCGGCCATGGGCATTGTTTCAAACTTACAAATGGCTTTTGCGTGCGCAGCGCGCAATCTGCCAGCGCTAAAACTGCGTAAGGGGTAAAACCAGCGGTCGAATTCTGGCAAGTTTAGCAGTACGCTTACGTACTTTACCCACCGAGTCACGCGTCACTTATTTATTGGCTATTCGCTGTTGTTACTTATTCCCGTTTTAAGTTCACTCGGTTCCAGGTCAGCTCGCTTTCCTTGTGCCGCGTTATGATTATTTTTTTTCACGTTAGCAAATTGCCGGTGGAATGCATTGCAAACGTTAACTTTTCGTGCGTGAACATTGTGGAATTACAGCTGGAAGTGCGCGCTATCTGAAATTTGTTTTAAAACAAGACGCTATTCTTGCGGGCTTTATGTGCGGGCGAATACGGCAACGTTGCATCAGCACCGGCAGCGGCTTAGCTGGGCCCTCAGTGCAGGAGACGGAGCCGACGACGATGATGATGATTGATTAATGATGATTGATTAATGATGATTGATGTTTAATGTGAAGAAAGCGAACGAAGCGGGAAAGACCGATCCACCCAATGATGTTGATGAAGTGTAAATGAATTTTTTGTTTAAAAAAAATATATATGTAAAGAACAGAACTTCCAAGGGGACGACTAAATCCAGGTACAAAACGCGGCACTGAGGCTTTGGAGGAGGAAGCCGCTGTCGATAGCGGGTAGTTGGGGGAGGGGGGCTGTAACAAGTGTTAGAAAGGGGGGCCCTAATTTAACACAAACAAAAAAAACCACGTAAATATTAAAACTCATAAAATGTTTATCTTGCATAGTAAAGTCATTGTAATTTTTTTTATTTGCTATGGGGGGCCGTCCATAAATGACGTCACGCACCTGGGGGGGGGGAGGAGGGGTCAGACATTTGTGACGATGTGTGACGAAGGGGGGAGAGGAGGAGGTGAGAAATGTGACGTCACATCAAAATGCGCAACTTTAAATAAATATAGACAACACGTTCTACTTATCTTCTTTGGTTCTTTCGGTAAAGTCACGTAGAATGAAATAATAAATTGATAAAATAACAATAAAATTCTCACGACGTTTCGGCCACAACACAAGCGGCCTTCATCAGGTGAAGGGACGAGACTGTCTGGAGGACAGCGCTGGAGTGAAAAAGCCACGCTGAGATCGCGACCTTTAAGCTGTGTGAGAAGAAACAAAGCGCCTTGACAAAGGAATTAGCATAGAATTTAGCATTGAAATGGCTGAGTGATTAGCTTGTAACTGGTCACAGAAATAGCTATGTTAAAGTCAGAGCATACACATTCACAGAGGCACCTAGTACAAATCAAACAGGAGAATTTAGCATTGAAATAACTAGCAGAATTTAGCATTGAAATAACTGAGTGATTAGCTTGTGACTGGTCACAGAAATGTGATATATAATGACTTATTGTTGGTAGCTTAGCTGATTGGAGAATATATAGCGTTTATTGATAACATTGAGGTAATTTATATTTTAGTTTTTTATTGGTTCACTATGTAGTATTCATTATATATTGTAGTGTATACCCAGTTACTGTGAATAGCTCAGATGTGTAGGCCTTGACTTCAACATAGCCATTTCTGTGACCAGTCACAAGCTAATCACTCAGTTATTTCAATGCTAAATTCTGCTAGTTATTTCAATGCTAAATTCTCCTGTTTGATTTGTACTAGGTGCCTCTGTGAATGTGTATGCTCTGACTTTAACATAGCTATTTCTGTGACCAGTCACAAACTAATCACTCAGCCATTTCAATGCTAAATTCTATGCCAATTCCTTTGTCAAGGCGCTATGTTTCTTCTCACACAGCTTAAAGGTCGCGATCTGAGGGTGGCTTTTTCACTCCAGCGCTGTCCTCCAGACAGTCTCGTCCCTTCACCTGATGAAGGCCACTTGTGTTGTGGCCGAAACGTCGTGAGAATGTTGTTATTTTATCAATTCATTATTTTATTCTCATTCTACGTGACTTTGCCGAAAGAACCAAAGAAGATTAATCCTTGCAGTCACGAAAGCTTTCAATCAACACGTTCTACTTAATTAAATAGACTTGTTAATAAATGTTTTCTCCTACAACATCAGAGTCCAGCGCCGCATTAAATATGCACTACAATGACAATAGTTTAAAGCGATTTGAAGCATGTTTTATTTGGGGGGGGGGGGGGGCGGCAGAGCTTTGTGACGTCATATTTGAGGGGGGGGTCTGACTTTTTGTGACGCCGTGTGACTAAGGGGGGGGGGGGTTAAAAATCCTCCAAAATCGCGTGACGTCATTTATGGACGGCCCCATACAACCAGATAAGACAAATCGCTAACATTAAACACAGAGTCGTTCTTAAAACTTCAAGGCGTTATAGTACTATAGTGATAGAGCAAGTGCAGAATTACTGAACCGGAATCGATAGCTTGAAAGCATTTAGCGCGGGGCCCTTGAAAGCGAGGGGCCCAAAATATAATAATAGGGGTTTTCCCCTTGTTTCTGGCAACAAAACTGAAACCTTTTAAAGGATTCATGTCACTGCATTAACCACAATACCTGCAGTCAAAATGCAAACAAAAAAATACTATGATAATATATGCATTGTCCTTGAAACGGATTGGTCCACACCATGGAGTGAGGGGCCCGTAGCATATGTAGCTACTTTTGCTACTAGGATAATCCGGCACTTGAGGCTAGTCGAGTTTTGATAACTATGAAGCCATTTAAACATTTAAACACTTGATTTTAAAACGTATTTAAACATTATTTTGTTTTATTAAACAAATAAAATCTGTTTCAACTGTAAATTTTCTTTCTGGCACGAATCTGCCACTCGAAGCGCCATCATAACATTAATACTTTTTTATGTTATATTAATGTTATGAGTGTGTGGGTGGCAGGGTGAGTGTGTGGGTGGGTGAAGGCTGTAATTATAATATACATCGAGGGGGACACATCCCCCCCAATATTAAAATATACCCCCAATATATTGCTATAAAATAGATTTCTGTTGATATTATTGTGGTTATGGTTGTACTTTATTAATCCATAATCTCTGCTATTACATACAATGAAACAAGAAAATGTAAACAAGAAAAAACAGAGCAATGTAATTAGACATTATTGTACAAAATAAATAAAAAGTCCAATGCTAGTGAATTTTTTTTATATTTTAAACAGGAAATGAGTTTTCAAATTTAGATTTTTTTTCTGGGGGGGGGGGGGACCTCCTGGTAGATTTGGTCCCCCCCCAATGTTGACTCCATGTCTACGGCCTTGGAGTGGGTGAGTGTGTGGGTGGCAGGGTGAGTGGATAAGTGTGTGTGGGTGAGTGTGAGCTTGTGGGTGAGTGTGAGTTTGTGGGTGAGTGTGTGTGGGTGAGTGTGAGTTTGTGGGTGGGTGGGTGGGTGGATGTGTGGGTGGGTGGCTGGATGAATGTGTGGGTGGGTGCGTGTGCGAGTGGGTGGGTGCGTGTGCGAGTGGGTGGTTGGATGAATGTGTGGGTGGATGATTGTGTGAGTGGCTGAATGTGTGGGTGGGTGCGTGTGTGAGTGGGTGGGTGGATGAATGTGTGGGTGGGTGATTGTGTGAGTGGGTGGATGAATGTGTGGGTGGGTGATTGTGTGAGTGGCTGGATGAATGTGTGGGTGGGTGCGTGTGTGAGTGGGTGGATGAATGTGTGGGTGGGTGATTGTGCGAGTGGGTGGATGAATGTGTGGGTGGGTGATGGTGTGAGTGGCTGGATGAATGTGGGTGGGTGCGTGTGTGAGTGGGTGGGTGGATGAATGTGTGGGTGGGTGATTGTGTGAGTGGGTGGATGAATGTGTGGGTGGGTGATTGTGTGAGTGGCTGGAGGAATGTGTGGGTGGGTGGATGAATGTGTGGGTAGGTGATTGTGTGAGTAGCTGGATGAATGTGTGGGTGGGTGATTGTGTGAGTGGCTGGATGAATGTGTGGGTGGGTGATTGTGTGAGTGGCTGGATGAATGTGTGGGTGGGTGCGTGTGTGAGTGGGTGGGTGGATGAATGTGTGGGTGGGTGATTGTGTGAGTGGCTGGATGAATGTGTGGGTGGGTGCGTGTGTGAGTGGGTGGATGAATGTGTGGGTGGGTGATTGTGCGAGTGGGTGGATGAATGTGTGGGTGGGTGATGGTGTGAGTGGCTGGATGAATGTGGGTGGGTGCGTGTGTGAGTGGGTGGGTGGATGAATGTGTGGGTGGGTGATTGTGTGAGTGGGTGGATGAATGTGTGGGTGGGTGATTGTGTGAGTGGCTGTAGGAATGTGTGGGTGGGTGGATGAATGTGTGGGTAGGTGATTGTGTGAGTAGCTGGATGAATGTGTGGGTGGGTGATTGTGTGAGTGGCTGGATGAATGTGTGGGTGGGTGATTGTGTGAGTGGCTGGATGAATGTGTGGGTGGGTGATTGTGTGAGTGGGTGGATGAATGTGTGGGTGGGTGATTGTGTGAGTGGCTGGATGAATGTGTGGGTGGGTGCGTGTGTGAGTGGGTGGATGAATGTGTGGGTGGGTGATTGTGCGAGTGGGTGGATGAATGTGTGGGTGGGTGCGTGTGTGAGTTGGTGGGTTCCATTGTTTGATTGGGGGGTAGAGGAAGAAACGGCCTTTGTCACGCTGCGCGATCGGCTCGCAAATGCCCCACCCCTAGCATACCCAAGACTTCTCCCTGCCCTTCATCTTGGACATGGACACCTGTGATCTGGGGATAGGGGCTGTCCTCTCTCAGCTGTAGGTTGGGGTTGAAGTGATTGCTTCCGGTCGTCGCGTCCTATTGCCGGTGGAGCAGTGTTATTGCGTAACTCTCAGAGAACTGCTGGCGGTAGTGCACTTCGTTCAGCTGTACAGACCCTACCTATATGCACCGATCACACCGCGTTCCAGTCCTCCTTGCGCACAGAACAGCCGTCGGGTTCAGCTGGCGCGCTTGGCTATGAGAATTGCAGGAGGACTCGTATCAGATTTACACATCGGAAGGGCCTCAAAACACGGAAACGCCGACGCATTGTCAAGGCTACCTCAAAAGGACCCCATCGGGTGCGGCCCGTTGTAAGCCAACTGTCCCGGGAACGCCAGCGACGACGGCAGCGGTTCAGCCCACGGAGTTACCAGCAAGGGAACCGTGCAGGGGCTATGCGTTGGGACTGACCTATACGGCATGGGGTCGGCTACACGCCGACGACGCGAGCGTGCCACCCTCGCGCCGCCAAGTGAAGGCCAAACTGTCCGCGTCAAACTCCCAAAAATTCGTCTCACTTTGGTGTCTGTTGCTGCACCTGGGGTGTCGAAAAACACTTCTGACCCTCAAACGTAATAATTATTGACCGCGCATGTCCCACGGATGTAAATGACTTGGTCGCGTGGTGGACGGAGTGTGCTCTGGCCCCGTCCCTGGCTCCGCCCCTGCCTCTGGCTCCGCCCCTGCCTCTGGCTCCGCCCCTGGCTTCGGCTCCGCCCCTGCCCTCTCATCGCCGGTGGAATCCTTGGGTCATTTGCGCCAGCCGCTCTGCGCTCGGCGATTGGGAGACGGCGCTGCAAAACTCCTGCACGCAGCGCCACACCGTGGTGACGCTCACGCCGAACAGCTGCGCCGCGCCCTTGTAGCCAGCACCGCCGCCACCGCCGCCGCCGTTCGCCAGCTTCCACAGGGCCATGGCCACCCTCTTGTCGACGGGCACGCACAGGCGGAAGGTCGTGTCGCGCCTCTGCAGCGCGGGCCCCAGGGCGCTGCAGACCCCGGCGAAGGCGTCGCGTGACAAGCCGAAGCTCCGGAGCCACTGGGCGTCCGTGAAGGAGCTCGCCTCCCGCTCCCACCAGTCGGAGGAGCGGACGTGCGTCCACACGGAAGCCCTGCGCTTGCGCTGGAACAGATAGTGAAGGATTCTCTGGGGGTGGGGCGGAGGTGGGGCGGGAGCGGGCACGGGAGGAGGGAGGGAGGGATAACACAAACAACATTTAATGACGGCAAATATTTGATTGTCCGCGTTCGGTTTATTCGATTTTCTGAATGTGGAGGGAAAAACTGGAGGACCTGGAGAAAAATTCACGCGGCCACGGGGAGTGGGGGGGGGGGAAAGACATGCAAATACACAGCAAGCGTTAGCGTCTGGACCGATCCCACGGCCTCCTGTATACCAGGCGGAGAAGTTAACGTCTCCTAGTTCACCGTGGCATTAGGGTCGGGATAAAACCCACAACCTCACCAGGCGATGTCTCTGCGACGGCCGACAAAGCGGAGGATGCCCCTCACCCTTCTGGACGCTCGCCGCCTGCCGAGTATCTCGTTCAGCCGATCCAAGCCGCCGCCGCCGCCGCCGCCGCCGTCTCCTCCGCGGAACGCCACGGCCGCGTCCGCCGCCGCCGCCCTCCTCGTCCGCGCGCGGTCGGCCCTCCGTCGCATCTCCGCCGCGCCCAGCAGCGCGCGCAGGACGAGCGCCAGGAAAAACACGAGCGCCACCTCCGGGTCCGAGATTCTCAAGGTGCTGGGCGCGACAACTCGCTCCTCCGCCTCCTTCTTCACCTCCTCCTTGGCACCAGCAGCACCACCACCACCACTGGCGGCGGCGTCGTCGTTGAAGCGCCCGTCCGCCCGTTCGTCGCCGGACACCTCGTGGGCTCTCCCCAGAGTCCGCGGCGGAAGCGCAACGACGCGGCGCCTCCTGATCCTCGCCGAGCGGCGGCTCCCTGCCGCGTCTCGGCCGTGGCTCGGAACGGAGACCGGGGCCCGGAGGTCGCCCCAGCGAGCCCGGAGGTCGCCTTCGTGAATCCGAAGGTCGCCCTGGTGAATCCGGAGGTTGCCCTGGCGACCCCAGAGGTTGCCTTGGCGACCCCGGAGGTCGCCCTGGTAGGTCCGAAGGTCGCCCCCCGGGGGAATCTGGAGGTTGCCCTGGTGAGCCCAGAGGTCGCCGCGGAGTGTCGAGCGGTGGAGCGGTGGCGCCCGCAGGCCGAACGTTCCCACAAACCCCTTCCTGGCCGTCTTAGTCGAGCGACTTCGGGGCGTGGCATCGTCGTCGTCATCGTCAGCCTCTTCTGTTGGTGCGTCAGAAACGGAAGAGGCGTTTATTCTATTTTATTTATCTGTGGCACCTTTATTTAGCCAGTACCATCAAAATTATAAAATACGATTGTATCCTTTCTGGCAACAATAAAACAGGATTTGTGTTAACATGTTCAACACCAAATAGATCCCTGTTATTGCAAGGCATCATGACTTGTGGCAAAACATGCAAAGAAGCATGCTCTGGAAATAATGTATAAGCATTGTCTTTGATACTGATCATCATCACCACCACCATCACCACCGATTATCACGGTTGGCTACGTACAGTGGGAAAGATGTTCAACGTACAAGCATCATCATCACAACAACCATCATCGTCAACGCCACCCACCATCACCTCTGATTAGCACGGTTGTAAAGAAGTTCAAAGTACATACATACAACCATCAGCATCAAAACCATCATCACAACCACCACCATCATAATCACCACAACCAAGTTCAATGTACATACACACATAATCCGCACGTACGTACGGTGAGGGAAAAAAGTATTTGATCCCCTGCTGATTTTGTACGTTTGCCCACTGACAAAGAAATGATCAGTCTATAATTTTAATGGTAGGTTTATTTGAACAGTGAGAGACAGAATAACAACAAAAAAATCCAGAAAAACGCATGTCAAAAATGTTATGAATTGATTTGCATTTTAATGAGGGAAATAAGTATTTGACCCCTCTGCAAAACATGACTTAGTACTTGGTGGCAAAACCCTTGTTGGCAATCACAGAGGTCAGACGTTTCTTGTAGTTGGCCACCAGGTTTGCACACATCTCAGAAGGGATTTTGTCCCACTCCTCTTTGCAGGTCTTCTCCAAGTCATTAAGGTTTCGAGGCTGACGTTTGGCAACTCGAACCTTCAGCTCCCTCCACAGATTTTCTATGGGATTAAGGTCTGGAGACTGGCTAGGCCACTCCAGGACCTTAATGTGCTTCTTCTTGAGCCACTCCTTTGTTGCCTTGGCCGTGTGTTTTGGGTCATTGTCATGCTGGAATACCCATCCACGACCCATTTTCAATGCCCTGGCTGAGGGAAGGAGGTTCTCACCCAAGATTTGATGGTACATGGCCCCGTCCATCGTCCCTTTGATGCGGTGAAGTTGTCCTGTCCCCTTAGCAGAAAAACACCCCCAATGCATAATGTTTCCACCTCCATGTTTGACGGTGGGGTTGGTGTTCTTGGGGTCATAGGCAGCATTCCTCCTCCTCCAAACACGGCGAGTTGAGTTGATGCCAAAGAGCTCCATTTTGGTCTCATCTGACCACAACACTTTTGCCCGGTTGTCCTCTGAATCATGCAGATGTTCATTGGCAAACTTCAGACGGGCATGTATATGTGCTTCCTTGAGCAGGGGGACCTTGCGGGCGCTGCAGGATTTCAGCCCTTCACGGTGTAGTGTGTTACCAATTGTTTTATTGGTGACTATGGTCCCAGCTGCCTTGAGATCATTGACCAGATCCTTCCGTGTAGTTCTGGGCTGATTCCTCACCGTTCTCATGATCATTGCAACTCCACGAGGTGAGATCTTGCATGGAGCCCCAGGCCGAGGGAGATTGACAGTTCTTTTGTGTTTCTTCCATTTGCGAATAATCGCACCAACTGTTGTCACCTTCTCACCAAGCTGCTTGGCAATGGTCTTGTAGCCCATTCCAGCCTTGTGTAGGTCTACAATCTTGTCCCTGACATCCTTGGAGAGCTCTTTGGTCTTGGCCATGGTGGAGAGTTTGGAATCTGATTGATTGATTGCTTCTGTGGACAGGTGTCTTTTATACAGGTAACAAGCTGAGATTAGGAGCACTCCCTTTAAGAGTGTGCTCCTAATCTCAGCTCATTACCCGTATAAAAGACACCTGGGAGCCAGAAATCTTTCTGATTGAGAGGGGGTCAAATACTTCTTTCCCTCATTAAAATGCAAATCAATTTATAACATTTTTGACATGCGTTTTTCTGGATTTTGTTGTTGTTATTCTGTCTCTCACTGTTCAAATAAACCTACCATTAAAATTATAGACTGATCCTTTCTTTGTCAGTGGGCAAACGTACAAAATCAGCAGGGGATCAAATGCTTTTTTCCCTCACTGTACGTACGTGTGCGAATACCCAGCTGCTCACATCCCCTGCCATCCCCTGCCACCTCCTGCCATCTCCTGCCACCTCCTGCCACCTCCTGTCATCCCCTGCCACCCCCTGCCATCCCCTGCCACCCCCTGCCACCCCCTGCCATCCCCTGCCACCCCCTGCCATCCTCCACCATCCCCTACCATCGTCGTCGTCCCCCTCCAGCACCACCTCGATCTCCGCCACGCGCGCCGAATCCACCCGGCGTCTTTCCGGCGAGAGCCACGACCCTCCCCCTGGCTCCACCACCGCCACGGAGGAGGAGGAGCCGTCGGCCACCATCAGGTGCTGGGCGACTTCTCCCTCGGTCTGGAAGTCCACCTCGATGATGTGAAGGTCCTCCTCTTTGACGGTCGGGTTGTCCTCTCCAACAGTACCACCACCAGCGCCAGCAGCAGCAGCAGTCGGTGGGCACCGGTCATCTTCCTCTTTGATCCGAATGGGAGCTGAGCGAAGTGCGAGAGACAAAGGGAGAGAGATGGAGAGACGGGCGGACGTCACGTTGGGAGCGAGACGCGGTGCAGGGCCCGTGGAAACACGTCTAGCGGAGGCATTACCATCATGAAGCCATCCAAATATATAAACAGACACAACTTCAACCGAGAAGATGGGTACAAACTGAGCAATCTATGGAAGGACGTTATTAACCAAGTAAAGTCTTAACTGACTGTGATGTTTCCATCCTACCTGCCTATGTCAGCTGTTATTTCCGACTCTCTGAGTACATCACCAGGTGAAATGTCTTTACATAAACGGGCAAACTGTCTCACTAACACAGCTGCCGTTGCCCCTTTCCCTTCAGGATCGAACCCACGGCCTCCTGCGTACCAGCCGAGGGAGTTAACATCTCCCTAGCCACTGTGGCGTCAGGGTCAGGATCGAACCCACGACCTCCTGTGTGCCAGGCGAGGGAGTTAACATCTCCCTAGCCACTGTGGCGTCAGGGTCGGGATCGAACCCACGACCTCCTACGTACCAGCCGAGGTAGTTAACATCTCCCTAGCCACTGTGGCGTCAGGGTTGGGATCGAACCCACGACCTCCTGCGTACCAGGCGAGGTAGTTAACATCTCCCTAGCCACTGTGGCGTCAGGGTCGGGATCGAACCCACGACCTCCTGCGTACCAGCCGAGGGAGTTAACATCTCCCTAGCCACTGTGGCGTCAGGGTCGGGATCGAATCCACGACCTCCTGCGTACCAGCCGAGGGAGTTAACATCTCCCTAGCCACTGTGGCGTCAGGGTCGGGATCGAACCCACGACCTCCTGCGTACCAGCCGAGGGAGTTAACATCTCCCTAGCCACTGTGGCGTCAGGGTCGGGATCAAACCCACGACCTCCTACGTACCAGGCGAGGGAGTTAACATCTCCCTAGCCACCGTGGCGTCACGGTCGGGATCGAACCCACGACCTCCTGCGTACCAGGCGAGGTAGTTAACATCTCCCTAGCCACTGTGGCGTCAGGGTCGGGATCGAACCCACGACCTCCTGCGTGCCAGCCGAGGGAGTTAACATATCCCTAGCCACCGTGGAGCCATTAGTTTAGCGTTTTTTTTACTTCTGCGAGTTTTGCGAGCAAGTCTCGTCTCAGGTTTCCTCTTGACATATCTAAAAACACGTCCCCGTCCCTGACGGCAAGGCAGGACCCCCGCTCACCCTCATCGCTGCCGCGTGCCGTCACTTCAGCCCGCAGCTCCGCCCGGGGCGGCCTCTCCTCTTCGTTCTCTCGCTTGACGAACGCCTCCATCGGGCGCAGAGACAAAAATCCGGAGCCTTCCCGTGGCAGCGGAATGACAACGTTCGGTGGGAGGAGGAACAGGAAGAGGAACAGGAGGGGGAGGAGGAACAAGAGGGGGAGGAAGAGGAGAGAGGAGGAACGGGAGGAGGGGGGAACAGGAGGAGGGAACAACAGGAGGAGAGACTCGATGCACATTCCGTTGGGATTTTATTTTAAATAATTTCTCAGAAGCGCCCCTGGCCATCACATAATGAGAGCAGCTGAACGAAGTTGGGCTTATCATCATCGTCACGTGGAAATGTATTGCAGCCAGATTCCAAAGAAAATGCGTGATGATGTTGATTCTAAACGAGGGAACAACCGGAGGACCCGGAGAAAAATCCACGGGCCCACCACTTAAAATATACAGCAGCAGGCATCGTCAGGGTCGGGATCAAACCCACAACCTCCTGTATACCAGGCGAGGTAGTTAACATCTCTTAGCAACCAGGACACTAGATGTTAACTACCTCACCTGGTATGCAAGAGGTCGTGAGTTTGATCCTGACCCTGACGCCTATATTTGGAGTCTGCGTCTCTCCATGAGACTACATGGTGTTTCAAAAATTGGATCCAATTCCAAAGCAGTACAGTTGAGGATGGCAACATGTTACAATTACACAAAAAGCTACAAACGGTTAAATGAGTTTTGATTTAAAGCTTTCGTGACTGCAGTAATTCATATTCTTATTTTTTTTCGGTAAAGTCACGTTGAAGGGAAACAACAAAATAATAAAATATATATAAAACAATAAAACATTCTCACGACGTTTCGACCATAACTCAAACGGTCGTCTTCAGGTGTGTTGGTTTGCATAAATTTATTTTTAAAACGGCGCATTTATTTATTTATAATAAAAAAACGTTAGCGCCACGCGCAACGATTTGCCAGTTTATTTAGGACTAGTCCATCTATATTCTGAAAAGAGGAGGGGGGAGACGAAATTTTTTATAATGTATGCTGTCTGAAAGCCACAGGTCTTAATTGATTGTTCACGCTTACAGTGGCTTTCAGACAGCATACATTATAAAAAATTTCGTCTCCCCCCTCCTCTTTTCAGAATATAGATGGACTAGTCCTAAATAAACTGCCAAATCGTTGCGCGTGGCGCTAACGTTTTTTTATAAATAAATAAATGCGCCGTTTACAAATAAATTTATGCAAACCAACACACCTGAAGATGACCGTTTGAGTTATGGTCGAAACGTCGTGAGAATTTTTTATTGTTTTATATATATTTTATTATTTTGTTGTTTCCCTTCAACATGACTTTACCGAAAAAGGTTAAATGAGTTATCAAGTTTTACTAACCATTTCATAAATGCTCTATGTGCCCTCCACCTGCTGTACGGACAACGTCGAGACGATAGTTGAATTCGTCCCAAACGCCTCTCTGCTCACGCTTTCCTCTGAGGTGCGTGGTCGCCCTGTGCTCTTCCCCTTACATCAACAGCAGCCTGCTTCATCAAATTCTCGGTACCAACGACGAATGCTCTTTGACATCGGCGGATCAATGCCAAAACGCCGTTGAAACGCACACTGCACCGCAATTACGGATTCAGTCTTGCTGAACTGCAGAACGCAAAACGCCCCTTGTGTTTGCGGGGTCACCGTCTTGCGAATGACTGAGGCTAGGGGCTGTTTGTGCGCTGGGAGAGGCATTTAGCGGTAATCATTTGAAACTCATTGCCCCACACTTTCAAGTGGTAAGAGTTTCATTCATGGGCGGTTTGTGGCTGCAGAGATTTCGCGATTACAAATCGGGTCCATCTTTTTTAAACACCCTGTATTTTGATTATTTGGCAGCTGCTACCAAATTTCCACACGGCGACGACGATGATGACGAAGACGATGATGATGAGCCCACTTCGTTGAGCTGCTCTCATTACGTGATGGCCAGGATCGCTTATGAAAAATTAGTAATATTTTTTAAAACTTTTTTAAAACACACTTTTGTGAAATGTACTAGTAATGTAAGAACTCCACGACTCCAGGAAGCGGCCCCGAAACTTGCCACAACGTAAGGGACCATGGCCAATTACAGCCAACGTCAGTTGAGTATGGACAATTAGACCCAAGCCGAAACATGATAGAATATAGTATTGTCATCAGTATGACATAAGTATATCAAGTTTGCGGTCGATACCACATTGGGAAGTGGGTTAAAATTGAGCTACAAGATTTGAGGATACAAGAGTGAGTTAAATGAAAGCGTGTACAAAAAGCGTCCAGCTCAGTGGGCTTTACCTGGTAAAATAAAACACATTCCTGCAGAGGGAGCTGGTAGGAACGTTGGGTTGCTCGGTCAATGGCCAGGGTCAACGGCGGCACCACGTGGTGTATTACGCAAATATGCCCGACTGTGAGGGCGGGCTCAAGCCGGCGTGAGTAGGTTAAACGTTGTGTTTTATAAGGGCACCACGGGGTGACCAGCCCCTCCCCACCCAGCCCCACCCCACCCAGCCCCACCCTCCCCTCCCCACCCAGCCCCTCCCCACCCAGCCCCTCCCCATCCTCCCCTCCCCACCCAGCCCCTCCCCACCCTCCCCACCCAGCCCCTCCCTCCCCACCCCACCCAGCCCCTCCCCACCCAGCCCCTCCCCTCCCCACCCTCCCCTCTCCACCCAGCCCCACCCCTCCCATTTTTGGATGAACGACGGACGGACACAATAATCCCCTGTGGGCTGGTGCAACCAGGAGGTTCCTACCAGTATAACAGTTCAGTTGTATTTGTTGCAAGTGATTTGTTTACATTTGCTATACTTTGCACTCCTATAGTGTGTGTTTGTTGTTGTAGTAACGTTCTGACCCCCGTGCCCCCAATGGACATCTGTGGCCAAAGAGCTTCATAGCTCATCGGATTACCTCCTCCTGCAGTACAAATACGACGTTCCGATTGTGAAGTGAATCCGTCTAAGGGAGACCGAACGCAGGAACCAGGGGTTCCACTCTGGCCCAGGGTTCACAATGGCCAACTGCGAGCAGCAGGAACAGCAGCAGGAGGAGGAGGAGCCGGAGGAACAGGAGGGAGAGACAGGAGGAGGAACAGGAGGGGATGAGGAACAGGAGGGGATGAGGAACAGGAGGGGATGAGGAACAGGATGAGGTGCAGGAGAGCAGGAGGAGGAACAGCAGGAGGAGGAGCCGGAGGAACAGGAGGGAGGGACAGGATTAGAACAGGAGGGGCAAGATTAGAACAGGAGGGGCAGGAGGAGGAACAGAAGGAGGAAGGAACAGGAGAGGAGCAGGAACACGAGGGAGGGACAGGAAGAGGAACAGGAGGAAGGAACAGGAGCAACAGAAGGAGGAGGGGCAGAAGGGGCAGGAGGAGGAACAGGATGAGGTGCAGGAGAGCAGGAGGAGGAACAGAAGGAAGAGGATCAGGAGGGGATGAGGAACAGGAGGAGGAACAGGAGGGGATGAGGAACAGGAGGAGGAACAGGATGAGGTGCAGGAGAGCAGGAGGAGGAACAGGAGGAGAGCAAGAGGAGGAGGAACAGCAGGAGGAGGATCAGGAGGGGATGAGGATCAGGAGGGGATGAGGAACAGGAGGAGGAACACGATGAGGTGCAGGAGAGCAGGAGGAGGAGGAACAGCAGGAGGAGGATCAGGAGGGGATGAGGAACAGGAGAGGACAAGGAACACGAGGGAGGGACCGGAGAAACAGGAGGGGCAGGAGGAACAGGAGAGGAGCAGGAACAGGAGGAGGAACAGGAGGGGCAGCAGGAGGAGGATCAGGAGGGGATGAGGAACAGAAGGAGGAACAGGATGAGGTGCAGGAGAGCAGGAGGAAGAACAGGAGGAGAGCAGGAGGAGGAGGAGGAACAGAAGGAGGAGGATCAGGATGGGATGAGGAACAGGAGAGGAGCAGGAACACGAGGGAGGGGCAGGAGGAACAGGAGGAGGAACAGGAGGAGGAACCGGAGCAGCAGCAGCAGCAGCTCGCGACCTCGTGAGCTCCACGGCGAGCGGGCAAACCTGGCACAGGGGGGAGGAGCGGACTCACCGCCCCGCGTCCAGCGCCCGGCACGAGAAGGAGGAGAGCAGAGCGTGAAGTCTTTTGTGAAATCATTCATTTAAAAAAGGGGGGGGGGGGCATGGCACATCAAGCAAAGCATTGAAAAAAAAGCGAATTGACGAACGAAGCCAAGTGCCGACTACACCTGGCATCTTCTCGTTTCCTCGGAGTGAGAGGGGAGCGTGGGGCGGCTAAACGCGGCGCGCAACGCGCTACTTACACAGCTACTACAGAGACAAAGGCCCCCCGTGTAGCCTGAGACAGGCTGGAGGGGCAAGTGCTGTTAGCGAGCAGCAGCCTATTTAAAAGCCGGAACTGTGGACGCACGAGGGGGTGGGTGGGCCACGCCCGGTCGGCTTCTGTCCCTCCAGTGGCGATGTTTACACGCCCACTCATCCACCCACTCATTCACTCACCCACCCACTCACCCACCCACTCATCCACTCACCCACCCACTCATCCACCCACCCACTCATCCACCCACCCACTCATCCACTCACCCACCCACTCACCCACTCATCCACCCACCCACTCATCCACCCACTCATCCACTCACTCACCCACCCACCCACTCACCCACCCACCCACTCACCCACCCACTCATCCACCCACCCACTCATCCACCCACCCACTCATTCAACCACCCACCCATCCACTCACCCACCCACGCACCTACCCACCCACTCATCCACTCACCCACCCATCCACTCACCCACCGACGCACCCACCCACTCATCCACGCATCCACCCACCCACTCATCCACTCAACCACCCACCCATCCACTCACCCACCCACGCATCCACTCACGCACCCACTCACGCACCCACCCACTCGCTCATCCACTCACCCACCCATCCACCCACCCACGCACGCACCCACCCACGCACCCACTCATCCACCCGCTCACGAAACCACCCACCCACTCATCCACCCACCCACTCACCCACCCACCCACCCGCTCACGAAACCACCCACCCACTCATCCACCCACCCACTCACCCACCCACCCACTAATCCACTCACTCACCCACCCACGCACCCACCCACCCACTCATGCACCCACCCACCCACTCACGCACCCACCCACCCACTCACGCACCCACCCACTCACTCACCCGCCCACGCAATCACCCACCCGCCCTCGCACCCACGCACCCACCCACCCATCCACTCGCGCACTCACCCACCCACTCGCCCACAAAGTCATTCACTCACGCAGTGGCGCGCTAACCGCTGCGCCACCGCTCCCATTGCTCCTCTCTCGCTGGCCCGCCTCCTCTGCGTGGTTGGATAGAGTCGTCGGCGTATCGGGTTTATTGTTGTTGATATTCCTTGTGGATCGTTCTGACAACTACTCCACTCCTCCCTCTAGCCTCCCTCCCCTGCCTCCTCCTCCTCATCGCTCCGTCTCCTCCTGCAGGGAGGTTCCCCTGCTCGGAGATCAGCTCCCTGCCACCGCCTCTTCCTCCTGCACACGACTGGGTGGGTGGCCAGCACCACCTCCACCATCACCACCTTCACCATCACCACCTTCACCATCACCACCTTCACCATCACCACCTCCATCCACCACCTCCACCACCTTCACCATCACCACCTCCATCCACCACCACCACCATCACCACCTTCACCACCATCACCACCATCACCACCTCCATCCACCACCTCCACCACTACCACTACCAACTCCACCACCTTCACCATCACCACCTCCATCCACCACCTCCACCACTACCACCACTACCACCACCACCTTCACCACCATCACCACATCCACCACCACATTCACCACCATCACCACCACATTCACCACCATCACCACCTTCACCACATCCACCACCACCATCATCACCACCTCCACCACCACCTCCACCACCATCACCACATTCACCACCACATCCACCACCAGCACCACCTTCACCACCTCCACCACCTCCACTACCTCTACCACCACTACCTCTACCACCACTATCTCGGTCACCACCACCTCGCGCTGTGGAGCTCACGAGGCCGGGACCACTCGGCTGGGTACACCTCGTTCTGCTGCTACAGCTCCTGCTGCTGCTCATCCTGCTGCTGCTCATCCTGCTGCTGCTCATCCTGCTGCTGCTCATCCTGCTGCTGCTCATCCTGCTGCTGCTCATCCTGCTGCTGCTCATCCTGCTGCTGCTCATCCTGCTGCTGCTCATCCTGCTGCTGCTCATCCTGCTGCTGCTCATCCTGCTGCTGCTCATCCTGCTGCTGCTCATCCTGCTGCTGCTCATCCTGCTGCTGCTCATCCTGCTGCTGCTCATCCTGCTGCTGCTCATCCTGCTGCTGCTCATCCTGCTGCTGCTCATCCTGCTGCTGCTCATCCTGCTGCTGCTCATCCTGCTGCTGCTCATCCTGCTGCTGCTCATCCTGCTGCTGCTCATCCTGCTGCTGCTCATCCTGCTGCTGCTCATCCTGCTGCTGCTCATCCTGCTGCTGCTCATCCTGCTGCTGCTCATCCTGCTGCTGCTCATCCTGCTGCTGCTCATCCTGCTGCTGCTCATCCTGCTGCTGCTCATCCTGCTGCTGCTCATCCTGCTGCTGCTCATCCTGCTGCTGCTCATCCTGCTGCTGCTCATCCTGCTGCTGCTCATCCTGCTGCTGCTCATCCTGCTGCTGCTCATCCTGCTGCTGCTCATCCTGCTGCTGCTCATCCTGCTGCTGCTCATCCTGCTGCTGCTCATCCTGCTGCTGCTCATCCTGCTGCTGCTCATCCTGCTGCTGCTCATCCTGCTGCTGCTCATCCTGCTGCTGCTCATCCTGCTGCTGCTCATCCTGCTGCTGCTCATCCTGCTGCTGCTCATCCTGCTGCTGCTCATCCTGCTGCTGCTCATCCTGCTGCTGCTCATCCTGCTGCTGCTCATCCTGCTGCTGCTCATCCTGCTGCTGCTCATCCTGCTGCTGCTCATCCTGCTGCTGCTCATCCTGCTGCTGCTCATCCTGCTGCTGCTCATCCTGCTGCTGCTCATCCTGCTGCTGCTCATCCTGCTGCTGCTCATCCTGCTGCTGCTCATCCTGCTGCTGCTCATCCTGCTGCTGCTCATCCTGCTGCTGCTCATCCTGCTGCTGCTCATCCTGCTGCTGCTCATCCTGCTGCTGCTCATCCTGCTGCTGCTCATCCTGCTGCTGCTCATCCTGCTGCTGCTCATCCTGCTGCTGCTCATCCTGCTGCTGCTCATCCTGCTGCTGCTCATCCTGCTGCTGCTCATCCTGCTGCTGCTCATCCTGCTGCTGCTCATCCTGCTGCTGCTCATCCTGCTGCTGCTCATCCTGCTGCTGCTCATCCTGCTGCTGCTCATCCTGCTGCTGCTCATCCTGCTGCTGCTCATCCTGCTGCTGCTCATCCTGCTGCTGCTCATCCTGCTGCTGCTCATCCTGCTGCTGCTCATCCTGCTGCTGCTCATCCTGCTGCTGCTCATCCTGCTGCTGCTCATCCTGCTGCTGCTCATCCTGCTGCTGCTCATCCTGCTGCTGCTCATCCTGCTGCTGCTCATCCTGCTGCTGCTCATCCTGCTGCTGCTCATCCTGCTGCTGCTCATCCTGCTGCTGCTCATCCTGCTGCTGCTCATCCTGCTGCTGCTCATCCTGCTGCTGCTCATCCTGCTGCTGCTCATCCTGCTGCTGCTCATCCTGCTGCTGCTCATCCTGCTGCTGCTCATCCTGCTGCTGCTCATCCTGCTGCTGCTCATCCTGCTGCTGCTCATCCTGCTGCTGCTCATCCTGCTGCTGCTCATCCTGCTGCTGCTCATCCTGCTGCTGCTCATCCTGCTGCTGTTGCTGTTGTTCATTCTGCTGCTCCTCTGCTCCGGCGGGGGAGGTGAGGTGGGGTGAGTGAGTGTTGTGGTTGAGGGGGGGTTAAGGTGGGGTGAGTGAGTGTTGAGGTTGAGGGGGGTTGAGTTGGGGTGAGTGAGTGTTGGGGTTGAGGTGGGGTTGAGTTGGGGTGAGTGAGTGTTGGGGTTGAGGTGGGGTTGAGGTGGGGTGAGTGAGTGTTGGGGTTGAGGTGGGGTTGAGGTGGGGTGAGTGAGTGTTGGGGTTGAGTTGGGGTGAGTGAGTGTTGAGGTTGAGGGGGGTTGAGTTGGGGTGAGTGAGTGTTGTGGTTGTGGTGGGGTTGAGGTGGGGTGAGTGTTGGGGTTGAGGTGGGGTTGAGGTGGGGTGAGTGAGTGTTGGGGTTGAGGGGGAGGTGAGGTGGGGTGAGTGAGTGTTGGGGTTGAGGTGGGGTTAAGGTGGGATGAGTGAGTGAGTGTTGGGGTTGAGGGGGAGGTGAGGTGGGGTGAGTGAGTGTTGGGGTTGAGGTGGGGTTGAGGTGGGGTGAGTGTTGGGGTTAAGGTGGGGTGAGTGAGTGTTGTGGTTGTGGTGGGGTTAAGGTGGGGTGAGTGAGTGTTGGGGTTAAGGTGGGGTGAGTGAGTGTTGGGGTTAAGGTGGGGTGAGTGTTGGAGTTGAGGAGGGGTTGAAGTAGGGGAAGTATTTCGATTTAAAGCTTTCGTGACTGCAAGGATTCATCTTCTTTGGTTCTTTCGGTAAATGAGAATAACATAATAAATTGATAAAATAAAATAACACAACAATATTCCCACGACGTTTCGGCCACAACACAAGCGGCCTTCATCAGGTGAAGGGACGAAACTGTCTGGAGGACAGCGCTGGAGTGAAAAAGCCACGTTCAGATCACGACCTTTAAGCTGTGTGAGAAGAAACAAAGCGCCTTGACAAAGGAATTAGCATAGAATTTAGCATTGAAATGGCTGAGTGATTAGCTTGTAACTGGTCATAGAAATAGCTATGTTAAAGTTAAAGCATACACATTCACAGAGGCACCTAGTGCAAATCAAACAGGAGAATTTAGCATTGAAATAACTAGGCGAATTTAGCATTGAAATAACTGAGTGATTAGCTTGTGACTGGTCACAGAAATGGCTATGTTGAAGTCAAGGCCTACACATCTGAGCTATTCACAGTAACTGGGTATACACTACAATATATAATGAATACTATATAGTGAACCAATAAAAAACTAAAATATAAATTACCTCAATGTTATCAATAAACTCTATATATTCTCCAATCAGCTAAGCTACCAACAATAAGTCGTTATATATCACAATGCTATATGGCGAAAAAAATGGGTGGATTCTTACCCTCAACTTTAGCATTTTATCAATTTATTATTTTATTCTCATTCTACGTGACTTTACCGAAAGAACCAAAGAAGATGAATCCTTGCAGTCACGAAAGCTTTAAATCGTAGGGGAAGTATTTTCCGGAGCTCAGTCCTCTACGGCTCCAGCCCTGGCTGGCTATTTAGAGGCGGCAGATTGTTCACTGCTCCTCCTTATTGTGCGATAGAATCTTTATTTAGACCGCAGGAGGAGGACATCTGATGATCTACGAAGCTCTTTAACACCTCGGCAAGAGAGAGAGACAACATCATTGTCTGGGCCGTGCCTTGCTGAGAAGGAGCGAATCATAATCGGTATCTTTATACTGCAGGAAGAAATCTGATGGTCTGCAAATCTCTTTGTGGACCGCACGACCAGTAAATCCGGTGCGTGCTCATTAACAATGCCACTGTGCGTGGACTATGGTGGAAGCAGCGGCGGCAGTGTTGAGGGTTGGTGGATCATGCACGTGGTCGTCGAGGTATTTTAATCAAGGCCGTAGCCAAGGAGTCAACATTTGGGGGGACCAAATCTTCAATAGTGGTCCCCCCCAGAAAAAAATAAAAATCTAAATTTAAAAACGAATTTCCTGCCGAAAATATAAAAAAATTCACTAACACATAGGATGGACTTTTCATTTATTTTTTTACAATAATGTCTAATAGTGTATTGTATTACATTGCTTTGTTTTTATCTTTTCTTGTTTCGTTGTATGTAATGGCAGAGATTAGGGATTAATAAAGTACAACCATAACCACAATCATATAAACAGCAATCTATTTTATAACTATTTATTGGGGGGGGGGACATTTTGAGCATATTTGAATATTACAATTACGGCCTTCATTTTAATTATTTATTTTACCGGGTGATGGCGGTGGTGATGGTTCTGCCGGCCACCCACCCCCTCGTACGCCGCAGTGCCGGCCTTCATAGGCGCTGCTCGCTACTAACACCGCTTGCCCCCAACAGTCTGCTGCAGGCTGCACGGGGTGGCGTGGAGATCTTTGGCGGTGGAGGGTGGTGGTGGTGGCGGTGGGCCCCATCTCTTGCCCATGGAGCCGCTCATCGTTAAGCGAGAGGATGGAGAGGAGCCTGGCAGTGGCGAGATGTGGCTCAGGGTGAAGGTGGAGAGAGAAGACGCCGGTGACCGTGAGTGTGGTCTCCCTCTGCCTCTCGCGTCTCTTAAGTGCCCGCCGATTCGCCTGAACCCTGCATAGAGAATTGCGGATATTGAAGCGCTGGTGGTACGCTAAAGATACATATAGTGTATAGTAGTGTATAGTGTAGTGTATGGTAGTGTACTGTATAGTGGAGTGTATAGTAGTGTATAGTGTAGTGTGTAGTAGTGTGTAGTGTAGTGTATAGTAGTGTATAGTGTAGTGTATGGTAGTGTATAGTAGTATATAGTGTAGTGTATAGTAGTGTATAGTGTAGTGTATGGTAGTGTATAGTAGTGTATAGTGTAGTGCAGGGGTCGGGAACCTTTTTGACTAAGAGAGCCATGAAAGCAAAAAATTTGGAAATTTATTTCAGTGAGAGCCATATAATATATTTTAAAAGTGAATTCAACTAAATGTCAGTATAATAAGCCTCTGAATTTATTCTTTTAAATAATGTTGTTATAACACTCACCATTAATGCGACTTCTGGTGCTGCATGGATTTGCTGATGTCTTTGTAGTCGGGTTGGTACTTGGTGAGGTTAAGCTTCATGCAAGCGTTGAGGCTTTCATCCGTTAAACGTGATCGTAGGTTGGACTTGATGTTTTTAAGATGTGAGAATGACTGCTCACATGCATACGTAGATCCAAACATGGTCAATACAGCAATACTCACACGCTGCAGTGTGTGGTATGTGACAGGAAGCGCGTTCCAAGTTTTGAGAATCAGCTGGTCTTCGGGTTGGAGTTTTTTCATTTCTGTCCACATGTGCTTGCCCGCCAACTCCGCTTTCTGTCGTGTGATTCTTTTCAAATCTTCATTCAGTGACTTGAACTTATTCACCCACATGTCTGAGGCCTTCAGGTCAGCCACTTCTGCTTCAAAATCTCTGACGGAGACACCAGGGATGTAATTCAGGTCGGCTGTGTTCAGTGAACACTCGTTTGGATGGGTGATGAACTTAAAAAGACGAGTGTGCTTACGAAATTCTCCAAAGCGTGCTTTGAAGGACTGTAGGAGACTGGATGTGCAGCCAGCTAGCTGGTGGAGATCAAGGTTTTGAATGGGCTCACTTGCTGTGCATGCATCTTTAAATTGGCTCAGTTTTTCAAAATGTAGTAAACGACCTGTTTCAAGATCCGTGATGAAAAGCTCCAGCTTGTTTTCAAAAGCAAATACAGCTTGTTGAAGGGATAACAATGTATTTCCAATGCCTTGCATTTTCACGTTGAGCTGGTTCAGATGTTCAGTCAGATCTACGAGATAGTAAAACTTGAGGAGCCACTCGGTGTCGGCTAGCTCAGGATGCCCGACGCCTTTCATTTCAAGGAAAGTCCGGATTTCGTTCAGGCAAGCCGCAAAACGGCTAAGCACCTTCCCTCTTGACAACCAACGCACATTGCTGTGCAAAAGCAGACCAGGATAGTTATTTACAACTTCATCCAGCAGTGTTTTAAACTGGCGATCATTTAAGGCTCGGGCAACAATAAAATTGATCACACGAATGACCAGCGACATCACTTCGCCAAACTGCCTGTCACACATCTGAGCACAAAGTGCCTCCTGGTGTATAATGCAATGGAAACTTAGGATGGGTCTATTTTCATGTTCACGGAGAAGCGCCACAAATTCTTTGTTTTTCCCCACCATACACGGAGCACCATCAGTACACACTGAGAGAAGTTTATCCATAGGTAGACTTTTTTCTTGAGCAAACTCCATGAAAGACTTGAATAAATCCTCACCTCTTGTGGACCCTTTTAATGGCAGAACAGCAAGACTTTCTTCGCACAGTGTGTCACCAACAGCATATCTTGCAATCACGCTGAACTGCGACAAATGGCTCACGTCTGTTGACTCATCCAAAGCCAGAGAAAAGAACGGCGCTGCATTTATGTCCTTCACTTGCGTTTCCTCCACTTTGTTTGCCATCACGATGGTACGATCATGAACAGTTCTTGCCGACAGAGGCATGTCTTGTATCCGTTTGATTATCTTGTCTTTGTTCGGAAGATCATCAAAAAGTTCATTGGCTACATCCAGCATGAACGTTTTAGCATACTCGCCATCTGTGAATGGTTTTCCGTTCCTCACTATTGCTAAAGAACCAGCAAAGCTAGCCGAATTATAGTCACCTTGCCGGGTCCATACGCGGAGTTGCTGCTGGCTAGCTTGCACCCTGCTCAGAAGCTCTTGGCACGCTTTCTTTCTGCTGTCTCCCGCAGGGTATTTTGATGCAAAGGTAGCGTGGCGCGTGTCGAAGTGCCGCTTTACATTCGACCGTTTCAACGATGTAATTTTGTCATTGCAAATTAGACACACCGCAGAACCCGCTCTCTCCACAAAGGCGAATTCTTCGGTCCATTCGTCCTGAAATGTACGATACTCGTCGTCTTTTTTTCTTTTCGCCATCTTCTTCGTCGAAGGGTTAGCTTTGAGCTAATGACCGAGCAGACGCAGTCTCAGACTGATTCAAAAGGGGGCGTTTACCTGTTTTATCCAGCAACGGCAAACGTAGGCCAGTATCATCCAATTAAAATAATGGACAATTGCTCCTGCAGCCCTGAACAGGACATGCGCAGTGAAAAATCGATGGATGGATTAAAACAAGTGAGAATATTTTGTTTTATCTGCGAGCCATATGCAATCATCAAAAGAGCCACATCTGGCTCGCGAGCCATAGGTTCCCGACCCCTGGTGTAGTGTATAGTAGTGTATAGTGTAGTGTGTAGTAGTGTGTAGTGTAGTGTATAGTAGTGTATAGTGTAGTGTATGGTAGTGTATAGTGTAGTGTATGGTAGTGTATAGTAGTGTATAGTGTAGTGTATAGTGTAGTGTATAGTAGTGTATAGTGTAATGTATGGTAGTGTATAGTAGTGTATAGTGTAGTGTATAGTAGTGTATAGTGCTGTGTAGTGTATAGTGTAGTGTATAGTAGTGTAGTGGGCTGAAGTAGTAACTAATTTGCCCATTTTGTTTACGTGACAAAGCTTGCTGGCTGTGGCAGGTGGTGGAGGGCTACGACATATACCCCATCTAACCCAAAAACCTTTAGCATGAATAGTATTGGTAGCAAGAGCCCCCTACATGTTAAACTTGGTAGGTTACTTCTTTGTTTCGTAGTTATGGCGTGGGCTTCGTTTCTTCCACAACACGTTTCATGCACTTGGAACATTCGGCGGACCCCAAGCGGAACTGTCGGATAACTGCCACACCTCATTAACCGGCTGCCTGCATTCCCCCACAGATGCTGGATATCGGAGATTTTTTGGCATACTTAGTTTTGAACATATTGAAGAAGGATGGAGTGGTACCGTAACTGGTGCCAAATGGGACGCCACGGTGGCTAGGGAGATGTTAACTCCCTCGCCTGATACACAGGAGGTGGTGGGTTCGGACCCGACCCTGACGCCTGTTGTATAGTATCACGGTAGCTAGGAGAAGTTAACCACCCTCCCGAGTATACAGGAGGTCATGGGTTCCATCCCGAACCTGACGCCTTCTGCTGTATATTTGTAGTTTGCATCTCGCCCTCCCTGTGGTCGTGTGGATTTTTCTCCGGGTCCTCCAGTTTTTCCCTCCACATTTAGAATCGACGTCACACGTTTCGATTAATTAGGCTGCCGCTATACATTTCGTGACGATGATAATGATGATAAACCCACTTCGTTGAGCTATCATTAGTGATGGCCAGGTCGCTCCTGAAAAAGAGCCACATCGCTCAATGGGTACTTAACTGGTAAAATAAAAAATAGTTTAGGTCATTGCCCTGGGTGGGAAATAAATGCATTATTCCGTATGCCCATGTGGATTTCGTGGCACGTTGGCACACTCAAAAGGTCTAACAAAAATGATCCCCTCAGTTCAGGAAGCCGACGCGGCGATTAAAGAAGAGGACGTTGAGGCTGAAGAAGTGGGACTCTGCGTCAAAGAAGAAGCAAAAGATGGAGATGACGATGACAACGACGACGACGAAGACACCTTCCGGATTAAAATGGAGGAATGCAAAGCTGGACGAAGGGAGCTCAGCGTCAATGGATTTGACGTCCAGGCTGAAGGGGGAGTTGGGAGCGAGGCGACCGTTGGTGATAGTTTCGCCATCGTCACCCCCGCCACCACCGCCACCACCGCCGCCGCGGTCAGACATGGAGAGTCCCGGGCACCGCGACAGGACTGGGCCGGCGCTTCCCCGAGCGTGGCGGAGATCGAGGTGACCTTGGAGGACGACATTGAGGGTACGCGGTGGTGGGAGGGGACCGGCATGGGTTTGACTCCAGGTCGTTGCAGCAAGTGGTCTGTTGGCGCTGGCGGTAGAAGACTCCGTTCCGAGTAGCACGAGATTCATAATTGATATTCGGGTCAGAGATATTAACTACCTCGCCTGGTATGCAGGAGGTCGTGGGTTCCATTCCAGCCCTGATGCCTGCTGTATATTTGGAGTTTCCGTGTCTCTCTCACCCCGTGGTTGCATCGATTTTTCTCAGGGTCCTCCGGTTTTTACACGCACATTTATAATCGGCGTCACGCGTTTATACGAGCATTTGGCTGCTGCTATAAATTTCCACGTGATGATGATAAGCCCACATCGTTGAGCTATTATTTGTGATGGCCGGGTTGCACCTGAAAACGAGATATATAGCTCAGGTGGGGCCTTAACTGGTAAAATAAAAAATAGTAAAAATTGTAAATACAGTAGACCCTCGATTATTCGCGCTAGTGACAGGGAGGACGGCCGCGGATAATTCACAATTGCAAATAATCCAAAAAGCATCCAATTTCCAAAAGATCTCTATACCAAAAACCACTAATATGCTAACAATAGATCGATCGATGATGCGTGTGCTCAGTGATCATAACACTTTCCTGCTCCCGTCCAGCAGAAGACTCGGCCCACTAAGTGGATGACAGCAGAGCCACAGCCAATTAACATCGATCAAACTGAGCCCACTGTTGTAAAGATATTGCAACTACTGTACTGTAGGGGCGATCGCGTGGATTTCGGATTCACCGGAGCAACATATTTGTTCGGTTTAAGCACCGTGTGACTTGGTAATAAACATTTCCAAGAATATCAATGTATAGCTGTTTTTAGATGATTAATTTGGGCTTAAGGGGAAATCCACGAGTTATTAATTCATGTAAAAATCTCAGGTGCCATGGTTAATCTGCAAATTGGATAAAACCGCATGGCGGATACTCGTGAGTCGACTCTACTTTGACCACTGCTCATGTTTTTCAAACATTATTTCCATTTGGAAATGATTCTGGCCCAGATGACCTCTGCTACTCTATTAGCCGCTGTTCATTCTCAAACATTGCACCACTTGGAACTGGTTCAGCCATCAGAATCAGAATACACCTTAACACCCGCACTCACGAACACCCGCACTCACAAACACCCGCACTCACGAACACCCTCATTCACAAACACCCACACTCAAACACCCGCACTCACAAACACCCACACTCAAACACCCACACTCACGAACACCCACACTCACGAACACCCCGCACTCACGAACACCCGCACTCACGAACACCCCCACTTATGAACACCCGCACTCACAAACACCCGCACTCAAACACCCGCACTCACAAACACCCACACTCACAAATACCCCCACTTACGAACACCAGCACTTACAAACCAGCTTCGACTGAAAACGAGAACTGGCATTTGCAAACTGAACTGCGGAACTATTTTGTTCAGCAATCCTCCTCCGCAAGATGTAACGGGTCAGCACCGTGCTGCATGTGTGTGTAGTGCATCCGCGTGCACGTGTGTGTGAGTGTGTGTGTGCAGGAGCGGTAGTTGTAGTGGTTAGCACGAAGCTGTGCATGTGTGTGTAGTGCATCCGCGTGCCTCCCACTCCCAGCCCCGCCCACTTCCCTCTAGCAGCGCGTCACTCCCCCTACCCCACACCCCCCTCTCTATCTCTCCTCCCTTGCTCTTCCCCCTGATATAGCTTCTTGTCACGGCAGCCCGTTTGCCCACTTCAGCTGTTGTTTCTTGCTGTGGTTGTCCCACCTGATGACGGACGCTTGTGTTGCGCCCGAAACGTCGTGATTTAATTTATTTTATTTTATACCTACGTGACTTTACCGAAGAATCAAAGAGTATGGATCCCTTCAAGTCGCGAAAACTTCAAATCTAGATTAGCACTAAGCTGCGCAGCTAAAGCACCGATCAGAGTTAAATTCCCGCTCACGGCCAAAACCAGTGACGATTAACTGAACCGGTCCTTGGACTCCCCTAGATCTACCCTGCCTCAAATGAGTACCCGGTACGGTGTATAAACATCGCCGCTGGGGAGACAAAGGCAGCCGGGCGTGGTGTTGGCCACCCACCCCGTGTGCCGTGCCGGTCCTTATAGGTGCTCGCTAACAGCACTTGCCCCTACAGTCTGTCTTTGTCTTTTGTGTCTGTGTGTATGTCTGCGTGTGTGTGTGTATTTTTGTCGTGGTTTGGTAATTGCTGCTCATTCAGAGGAGGAGTTGGAGACACTTCTGCTGAAACTGGAGCGTGCCACTAAGAGGTGGGGCCTTACCATCAGCCCCACCAAAACTAAGCACCTGCCTGGGTATTTTGTACCATCGAACACTCCACCCCCACAACTCTCAATCAGTGATGGGGCAGTTGTGGAGAGAGTGGAGAGTTTCCCATACCTGGGCAGTGTGCTTATGACCGCCTCCGGTTTTGACTGCGGAGGTCTCACTCCGAATCAGTCGAGCGGCAATATCTTATCATCGGTTGCGTAGTGTGGAAGCGACCTGGTCTGTCGCTCCGCACGAAGCTTCTGGTCTTCTCGGCCACGGTCATTCCCTCCCTTCTCTACGCTTGCGAAACGTGGACCCCCCTAATGGAACATCTTTGCCGGTTAGAAACATTTAGGCTGGCCTGCCTACGATCCATCCTGGGTTTAACCAGGCTGGATTGTGTGAGGAACTCACAAATCCTTGAAAGATCTGGGCAAAGTCCCATCGGTGAGCTCCTCCGGCAAGCAAGGCTGCGTTGGCTGGGTCATGTAGCCCGCATGCCCAGCCACCGCATGCCTAAATAGCTTTTGTTCGGCTGGATCGAGGGGGCTAAACGGGCGCGGCACGGGCTAGAGAAGAGATGGAGTGATGTGGTACAGGAGGACGTGGAGCTGAGTGGACTTGCCGATAACTGGTACCAGCAGTGTCAAGCTCTGCCTCAGTGGAGGAGGCTCGTGAAGGACGCTACTGCTCAGTTGGAGGCAGTCGCCCTTCAACAACAACGGAGGGCGGAGGAGCGACGCTCACAACAACGAGCAGAGCGCCGGGTGGCTAAAGCACAGCAAGTCGGCACAGTAGGGGGCACAGGTGGTGCATCAGCCAGTCATCTCAGTCATCTCAGTCAGTCGGCCCGTGGCACCTGGGTCTGCCCCGTGACCTCCTGCCAGCGGGCGTTCCACACTTCACGTGGCCTCAAGGTGCACATGGCCTGGCACAAGCGTCGTGGTGATGTCACCGCCACTTAGTGGCGAATGGCGGTTGTTGTTGTCTGTGTGTGTGTTTGTGTGCGTGTCTGTGTGTGTATGTGTGTATTTCTGTGGTGACTAATTGCGCCCCTTTCAACAAGCAAGCCAGCATCAGGACTCAAGGTAAGTGAATTTAAAACAGATTATTTTTTCTATTCATGTAATTTTTTTACAGTTGATTTACTATACAGTGTTTCTTACAGTACTACATGCAAATGTACAATATTGCTTTTTATAATGAGTTTAACAAGGCTTCTCCTGTGTTGAACCGTAACACATTTAATAACACTGACTGTATGGGCATTTAAATAGGTAAATTATTGTGCTGCGACTCACAAACCGCTCCGACTTGCGAACCGTCCCGACTCACGAACCGCTCTGACTTACGAACCGTCCTGACTTACGTACCGGGTCTCAGGATTGCCCCTATTTATTTAGACTGCAGGAGGAGGAATCCAATGAGCTATAAAGTTCTTTTTCACAGATGCCCAGCAGGCGCACGGGGGTCAGAACGTTACAACAACAATAAACACAATATTCACAAACGCGATAGGAGTGCAAAGTATAGGAAAGGTAAACCAATCACTTAAAAAAATATATATGCAAATAAAAGTACAGTGTGTTTTTTTATCTTACCAGGTAAAGCTATTCACTTATTTTTCAAAAGCAACCCGGCCATCACAATGATGGCTCAGCGAAGTGGCCGATATCATCATCGTGTCGAGATTTATAGCAGCAGCCAAATACTCTAAACGCATGATCTTCATTCTACACTCCCAGAGTCTCATATAGAATCAGAGACCCACAGAGATCCATAGAGAATCGTACTCATCGAGACCCATGCTAAAACTAAACTATAATTTTATCTTACCAGAAGCGACCTGGCCAACTATCACAAATAATAGCACAAAATAGCTTAATAGTTCGGTCTTCAGTCGTTTTTCTGCGCAACAGTGAGGATGTAACGAATTCACTCCACCGCATCGGTCCCCTCCCCTCCCTCCCGGTAGCGCCGGACGCCGCGCTGGGCCGACGTTCGAGGGACGTCGGCGGCGGCCGAGGCGGCGGCGCGCCGGCGACCCGGCACGCCTGCTCGCTGTGCGGCAGGAGCTTCGTGCGCCCATCGGCCCTCAAGAGCCACGCGATGACGCACACGGGCGAGCGGCCGCACGGTTGCCCCGTGTGCGCCAAGCGCTTCGCCCACCCCTCCGACCTGAGGATCCACGCGAGGATCCACACGGGCGAGCGGCCGCACGCCTGCCCCGACTGCTCCAAGGTCTTCGTGCAGTCCTCCAACCTCAGGAGCCACATGAGGATCCACACGGGCGAGCGGCCGCACGCCTGCCACGCGTGCGGCAAGCGCTACATCCACCCGTCGGAGCTCAGGAGCCACGCGAGGACGCACACGGGAGAGCGGCCGCACGTCTGCGGCGTGTGCGGCAAGGGCTTCCTGCAGTCGTCGAACCTCAAGAGCCACGCGAGAATCCACACGGGCGAGCGGCCGCACGTCTGCGCCGTGTGCGGCAAGGGCTTCATGCAGTCGTCGACGCTCAAGAGCCACGCGATCACGCACACCGACGACCGGCCGTTCCGGTGCGCCGTGTGCGACCGGAGCTTCAGGCGCCCGTCGGTTCTCAAGAGCCACCTGCTGGCGCACGCTGGCGGACGGCGCCCGTCGCTCGGGCGCTCCGTGCGCGGCAGAGGGCTCTCGAGCGCATCGCGCACCTCGGGGTTGCACGTGGGGACCCACGGCGGAGGGAGCGCCGGGACGCCCCCCGGTTGTTGAGCCTCGCATCAAGAATCGTTGCAATCGGGAACCTTTTGTTTAGACTGACGGGGAGGAGGAGGGAGCGGAAGAATCTGACGAGCATCGAAGCGCTTTTTTTCACTTGTGTCCACTATGGGCACGGGGTTCAGAAAAGTTACAAATCTGTAAATGTTAAACCACAACAACCGCCAATTACCCCCTAAGTGGTGGCGACATCACCACAGCGCCTGTGCCAGGCCGTGTGCACTTTAAGGCCACGTGAAGTGTCGAACGCCCACTGGCATGGAGCTCATGGGACAGACCCAGCAGGTGCCATGGGTCGACTGACTGAGACGACTGGCGGATGCACCACCTGTGCCCCCTACTGTGCCAACTTGCTGCGTTTTAGCCAACCGACGCTCCGCTCGTTGTTGTGAGCATCGCTCCTCCGCCCTCCGTTGTTGTTGGAGGGCGACTGCCTCCAACTGCCCAGTAGCATCCTTCACGAGCCTCCTCCACAGAGGCCGATCTTGACACCGCTGGTACCAGTCATCGGCAAGTCCACTCAGCTACACGTCCTCTTGTACCACATCACTCCATCTCTTCTCTAGCCCGTACCGCACCCGTTTAGCCCTCTTTATCCAGTCACTGGTTCTTCATGTTCTGCAGATGTAGATGCCACTGGTTCTTAACGCTCTGCAGATGCAGACGCCACTGGTTCTTCATGTTCTTCGTATTCTGCAGATGTAGATGCTAATTCCTTTTGGTGCTCTTGTTTCCTCTCTACTTTCTTGAAAAACTTAACAGGCACTGTCATCATGAACAGCTGCCGACACCTTAGTAAACCTTTCATTGTTTGGGTCCTGAGACTCAAAGTAAGCCAGTGCTTGATACACGAACAACCACCACCATCTATTGTGCGGCGGTTGAACTTACAACTCTCGGTCCCAACAGCTGCAACTGGACCATACGGGGGACAGGTTTGTTAAAATCTCTGCAAGTTCGTAAGTTGAACGTTCACTAAGTAGAGGGGGTCCCCGAACTCGCAACACGATCGTAGTGAGAAACTACAGGAAAGGAAACGTGAGCAAATCGCGAACACAAGAAAAATGGAAAATCCAAACCATGTTTTACTCCACCGGCTAAAGCCCACTGAGCTAATCGCCTCTTGGCGTCGCACCTTCACCGCAGGATTGTTCTTCGTCGATTCACGGGGAGGGAGGCGAGGGAGGGGGGCAGAGGCTTCATACCGCCGCTGCGATGTTTACCGCCTGAACTTCGTCGGTCAAACTTGACGTGGCACCTTGCCAACCCCCCCCCTTACCCCGTATCCGAGACGTCTCTGGCAGGTTTGTCAGTTTAACACGTAGGCTTTCGCGAACAATATCATCCATAATACAGGTTTTTTTTGTTAGGTTGTGTAAATATAAATAAGGCTGGCTGTCGCCTGATGAAGCTAGTTGTAAATACTGGTGAAACGTCGTACTCAGATTTTAAATGTTTTTTTTGTTTTAGATCGCGTAACTATATAACTGTCGTTAAAACCCGCCACCACCCGACACAGCCAACTAGTAAGGGTTGTCACGCAAACAGAACATGCCAATTCGTCACTAGTACAGCACACCGGTGTGTTGGAGAGCCAAGCCACAACATCTTTGATCTTGTCCTTCCTGTCTATTTTGTGTATTAAAATAGCCGTACCAATGGTCATCCCTATTGAAGTATGCTGCCCTTTATAGGCACGCATTTAAATGATGTATTATTTGATGATTCGCTTTCGCTTCTACGCAGCACTAAGTCGGTAGCTATCCAAACAGTTAAAATTGTTTTTATTCTTTTGAAGTTCGATAAATGATCTAATTAGTCTTGGCCAGTAGTAGCTAGTTTTGTACAGAACTTCAACATTATAAAAAATCAATTGAGTGTCCTTGTTGGCATGCGTGTTCTGCTACTGCTGACAGTTGTATTTGGGAGAAGCGTGGTCACCACATCTACGCCTCTATATAAGGAACGAAACAGTTAAGACTTCTCCACAAACCTGGCTGTCGCCTGATGAAGCTAGTTGTAATTACTGGCGAAACGTTGTACTCGGATTGTAAATGTTGTGGCTTGGCTCTCCAACACACCGGTGTGCTGTACTAGTGACGAATTGGCATGTTATGTTTGCGTGACAACCCTTACTAGTTGGCTGTGTCGGGTGGTGGCGGGTTTAACGACGCATTTATATATTTACGCGATCTAACCCAAAGAAAACCTCTTACGGATGATATTGATCGCGGAAGCCTACGTGTTAAACTGGCATGTTCTGTTTGTGTGACAAAGCTTACACATTGGCTGTGTCGGGTGGTGGCGGGTTTAACGACACATTTTATTTACATGATCTAACTAAAAAAAACCTATATTATGGCGAAATATAGATGTGTTTACAGCCTTCTTGACGTACTTTGGACGCGTTATGAGGACCTCTGGACTACAGGAATCGGTCTTTCTTGGAAATGGAGAAGGTAGCAGGGGCAGAAGTCGACCTCGGAGGAGGTGAATGGATGACATCAAGAACACCGCTGGCCCTGCACACTAACCAAGCTACGAGAGGCAGTGAGAGACGTGCGGTGTGCATGGCGGAGTCTGGTCGTGGATGGCACAAGGTCACAAGGCTGTTTTGTGTGCAAAGCGTTAGCCGTAGGAAAACACTTGCCCCCATCAAGGGACCTCCTTTGTTTGCATATTCACCACAAGTATATGTGGTTAATGCAGACATGATTTCTTGCAAAAGGTTTATGTTTGGTGTTTTAACATCTTAACACAACTGTTTTATTGTCAGAAAGGGTAAAACCTATTCTTATTCTTTGATACTGGCAAGGGAGGTTCCATGATGTAGCTGCTCGCATTGAGGACACCTTTTGGCGTCCTCTGGTCTAACGCTGTTTGAGACTGGGCTCTTAAGAAGGCTGTCTCTGGTGTGGACCAATCAGTTTCAAAGACAATGCATCATATACTACCAGAGCATTTTTTTTGCATGTTCACCACAAGTATATGTGGTTAATGCAGACATGATTCCTTGCAAAAGGGTTCTGGTTGGTGTTTGAACATCTTAACACAACTGTTTTATTGTCAGAAAGGGTAAAACCTATTATTATACTTTGCCCCCACTCGCGTATTCTCGCCTACTATTTCTGAAAGTTGCATTCTTCAGAAATAGTAACGTTCTAACATCCACGTAAGTAATCTCATCGTTTCCCAGGGTCGTCAACGCTTCTGATTTGTAATGCAACACTGTCTTCATGCTGTCTCAATATGGTAATAATAATTATTTACATTTATCTGTAAGGCACCTTTCATGAATGTCTCAAGGTGCCCTTGTAAGAATGAGGATAGAGAAAAGGCTAACAGAGACACGAAGAAGCTAAATGGAATAAACTGACTTTAAACTTTCGCGACTGCAGGAATTCATATTCTTTCTTTTTCTTTTATTGTTAAAATAACAATAAAATAATGAAAATAAAGTGAATATTCACTTTATTTTTTATTATTTTATTGTTATTTTTTCTATCTACGTGGAATAAACTGACTTAAGAAGATGTGGTTTTAAGACAATATTTAACAGCGTACCTGTAAACGCATACAGTTTACCCCGTATTCTTGTACAGGGAAATTGAGTTTTAAGGTCCATACGGTGTACATCCATTTCAATACAAGCAAAACTTTGTTTTGTATATTTGTGTTTCTCCCTTGCGATTGGACTTTGTAGGATGAACGTTGAGATTAAGGGTACGGGTCTGTAATAAGGTAGACACTGATAAGGCGTTGACAGGTATGTAGTAGTGTAGTGTATAGTAGTGTAGTGTATAGTGGTATAGTGTGGTGTAGTGTATAGTGGTGTAGTGTATAATGTGGTGTAGTGTATAGTAGTGTAGTGTATAAGTGTAGTGTATAGTAGCATACCTGTCAAACCATACAGTTTACCCCGTATTCTTGTACAGGGAAATTGAGTTTTCAGGTGCATACGGCATACAGCCGTTTCAATACGGCCAAAAAAAACGCTATTTGTTTGTGTTTCTCCCTTGTGATGGGACGTTGTAGGATGATCGTTGAGATTTAGAAGGGCACGGGGTGACCAATAAGGTCTGAATTGGCCTGTAATAAAGTAGGCACTGTTAAGGGGTTGACAGGTATGTAAAAGTATCCACATTTTTGGATAAACGAATTGCCAACGGTAGGGAATTCCACAATCGTAGTGGTGCAGCCACAGCGAATGGTCCCTCGGCCCAGAACATTATTTTGGCTCTGGGAAAAGTTTTGTTTGACTGCATTTAATAAATTGCCCCTCATGCGTATATATGCTCTTACCCATAACGGCTCGGAAAAAAGGAGAAAATGAAAAATAAAAAAGGCACAATCAACATGATTAATAGATTTGGCTTCTTTTGGGTTTCGGGGTCATGTCAAAGAATGTTGCGTCGCAAAAGCCCTCCTCCACCCGACACAGCCAATGTGAGTCAAACTGACGCGCCGCTTCAGCCAGCCACACTCAGTGGTATGCTGTTGTGACAGCGAATCTCACAACATTTAAAATGGGCATGGGCGTTGAAACTAAGTGAGTTTGATCCCGACCCTGACGATGCCTGTGGTATATTTGGACTTTGCGTCTCTCTCTCCCCGTGGCCGTGTGGATTTTTCTCCGGGTCCTCTGTTTTTTTTCCCCTCCACATTTAGAATCAACGTCACCACGCGTTTGGAGAGTATTTGGCTGCTTCCATTTCCATATGATGATGTTGATAAGCCCCATTTCATTGAGCTATCATCACGTGTGGCCAGGGTCGCTTCTCAAAAAGAACTATGCAGCCCAGTGGGGTGGGGGGAGGGGGGCCTTACACTCAGGTGGAAATGTGCTGGTTTTCTTGCGTGGACGTAGGAGCGGTTGCCTTTTCATGTCCGGTCTTTTCTATCAATCCATAATCCCGATCTGGCAATCGCTCGCCACACCACGCGGGGACCGGGAATTGTCGTTAGGCTCCTGGGAAAATGCCGCGGGTAGGCAAATTCGTGGTTGCCAAAGTTACAGGGCACTGATGGGAAGTTAGGGGGTACGGGGGTGGGGGGGTTAGGGGAACCACAGTCGTGGGTCTGACTCTTCGTAGCTGAACTGAGTTAGTTTAACACGCACTAGTAGTTGTCGGGCTTTCGCGACCAACATCCATTTTATTTGGGTTAGATGACGTAAATTATAAATGCGTCTTTAAACCCACCACCACCCGACACAGCCAATTAGTTAAGGTGTTTGTCACGTAAACAAAACGTGGCCAATTAGTTACTAGTACAGCACTAACCGGTTGTTGTGTGTTGGAGAGTAAACCTACA